GTGTGTGTGTGTGTGTGTGTGTGTGTGTGTGTGTCAGGTTGTCCCCGAGTCCGCGGCGCTGGCCCCCAGGGTGCCTCACCGCGACTCCGGCCCTCATCTCGAGCTTTAATGTTCTTTTAATGTACTTTTAATGTCCGGTTCGTCTGATGGCCGCGCCGTCTACTTGGCCTCCGCCCCGCCCACCGCGCCAATAAGGTCCACCTCGGCCCCGCCCCGCCCCGCCCCACGATCAGGGCTCACCTTCGTTCCCTCGTCGTGAAATGGCACAATCAGTAAAAGTTTGAATCGTCAAACAGGCAGGTGGTGGAGTAGAAAACCACCGCGACGTCCACTGTGGCTCCGGGCCGCACCGCGAACGTGGCCGTCGACCCCTCACTTTAGAGACTGTGGTTCGAATCTCCTCATTCGTTACGGATTTTTTTTGTTTTTGTTTTTTCATTCAGTCAGTTGCAGCGCCAGCCAGCGCCGCCTGGCCACGGCCTGGCCTTCCAGTCTTCCAGTGTCGGGGCGTCATTTCCGTGGCTGCGGGGCGCCGCCGGGCCGTAGCGAGTTCCTGGAAGAGAGGCAAAGGGCACGGCACCGCCACAGCAGCACACCACAGCACAGCGCAGCACAGCGCCACTGCAGTGCTGATGAAGAGAAATGAAGCCTGCCTCGTCCGTTGCCGGGGCCGGGGCCGGGGCCGGGGCCGGGGCCCGAGTCCGGGGCCGTGCGTCCGTTTGATGGCGCGGAGTTTGTTTCCGACTCGTCTGTTTGCGACTCGGCCGATCCATCCACGTGCCGTTTTCGCCGCTCGCCCTCACCGCCTCTTTTCCGCACGGAAAGGAAAGAAAAGAAAAAGGGGGAGAGATAAGAAAAGGACCGCTGTCGAGTAATAAGAGGCTGGCCGCGCTCGGCACTAGTATAGCCCGCCAACCCCGCCGGCCCCGCCAGTGTCGACGCGCGGCGTCGTGTGATATGACGCTCTAAGCGCCGCCACCCTACAATGTATCCCCGGGCCTATAACGGCCGTGGGGCGGGGCGGGGCGGGGGGCGGGGCGGGGCGGGGCGGGGCGGGGCGGGCGCTCATCCGCATTGCCTGTTGTGTGGCGCTGAGCCCCGTATGAATAGGCCGCGCGTGTGGCGTGCGGCCTGAGCGGCCTGAGCGGCCTGGGCCCGGGACTTGCCTTGACAGGCCTAATAGTAATAACCTCCCCCTCCACCGGGATGATGGCTTTTTCAGGTCGGCCGCGTCTTCACCACGTCCTCGCTCGCCAGTCCCACCAGCAGGACGGCACCGCCTGGACTGGATGCAGGAGCGCCCGAGCACGGCGGGATAGGCCGTCCCGTCAGACAGCGGCGCGTTCGGGTTGCCTACCCCGAGGTTCGCAGGCGCTAGCAGCCGCCCGGCCGGCAGCAGCCACCAAACCGCACCGAGCTGCCAAGCTGCCACCGCGTCGGCTCGATCTCGGCTCGCCTTCACGACGCCGTCTTCGCTCTGCCTGCTGAGGAGCTGGGGCCCGGCAGGGTGGCCGGGTGGCCGGGCAGCCGGGTGCTGGTTGTTAGGCGGAGGGTGCACTCTCTGCACTCTCGTCCTCGTCCCTCGGAGGAAAAAACTAAGGGCCCGGCAAGGCTGGCAAGGCTGCCTTGGCGCTACCGCTACCTCTCGCTATGCCGGCGGTGCACTTTTGTGTGGGCCTGCCGCCGCCGAGGTTTGCAGATAGAGAACAACTGCTTTTTCTCTTTGTTTTTGTTTTTTTCTCTCTCCGTATCTTTTAGCATTGTTGCGGTCTCGCCGCCAGGTGCTGGAGATCAAAACTTGCGTTTGCACTTTTGGCGGCGAGTTTGCGAGGGCGCGGACGGGACGGCGCGTCTGGGCCGTGCCGCCTAGAACAAAGTCGCTTTCTTCGACCTGCGCTGCGACTCGCGGGGCGGGGCGGGCGGGGCGGGGCGGGGCGGGGCGGGGCGGGGCGGGCGGGCGGGGCGGGGCGGGGCGGGGCGGGGCGGGGGGGCGGGGCGGGGCGGGGCGGGCTGCCGGCCATTCTCGCCATTGTTCCCTTCACTTCCGGGGTCTGCGCCTCGCATCGCCTCCCAACGCCTCCAGCACCTCCAGCACCTCCAGCAGGCAGTGGAGTAGACGCCGCTGATTTCGACGCCATTCTTTCCGCGCGCGTTTTCGAAGGGTCGGGTTCAAGCCCGGCCGGTGCCGGCCGGTCTAGGCCGGCTGAGGCTGACCCGAAGTCGAATCGACTCGGAGTGCGCGAGTTGGTAACGCTACCCTATCCGCCCCGGGTCGACCGCGAGGGGCAACGGCCCCGGGGCGGGGCGGGGCGGGGCGGGGCGGTCGAAGAGGAGGAGAGGGGTGGGTTGCCGGTTAAGACACCGTCCTTAATGTACTTTCCGCGCGGTGTTCTTCGCCGCCAGCACGTCGTCGTCGTCGCCTCTACCTGCCAGACTGCCTGCCAGGCCCAGTGCCGCTCGCCCCGCCCCTCCTCGTAGTCGGCCGGCCTCAGCACTCGACTATGCAGTAATTGCAGTCATTAGTTTGCCGAGCGCTTCACCTGGCTGTAAAACGAGTAGCACTAAAATGAGATTTTTCCCCCAAAAAAAGTTTTTTTTTTGCAAGTTGCTGCAATAATACGAAGGGCGAGTGTAATGTGCCTTCCAAGTGCCTCCAGGGCTGGGCTGGGCTGGGCTGGCCACGGCTCATCCACCCCCTCCCTCTCCCCGCGCCCATTTTTCACCAGAGTGACGAAAAGTAGTGTGATGATGGCCACGATAATGCTATGAGGGGTGGGGGTGGGGGCGGCGCCAGCAGGTGCCGGGGACAGGGGGAGGCTGGCTGGGGCTGGCTGAGCTTTATCACATCATTACCAAGATTGGACTATTACTGCACATCCAGGGCAACATGAGTGCAGAGCAGCGCGGAGCAGAGAGTGGGGCGCCGGCCTCGTCCACGGCCTCGTCCCCGCCTCGTCCCCGCCTCGTCCTCGACCTCCGCGCTGGCCGGCCTGGCTTGGTTTCTCGCAGTGGATTAGACGCGCCAGCCGGGGTTTGGTTCGGGGCGTCTGGTCTGCTTTTCCTCGCCGACAGTTTTGTCAGCTCTGGTTGAGAGCCCCGCAGTGGAGCCCCGCAGTGGAGGGAGGCAGGGAGGGAGCCCACCCCCTCCCTGCTTTCGCCGCCCTGCCGCCCGGTCCAGCTCGCCCTTTGACAAGAGATCGCCGCTGACGTCGCCTTACGCGGCACAAGTGTGGCTCTCACCCTTCCTCCCCCACCCCCTTCCCGGCCCTGCCTCGATATATACTGCGCGGACGGACAAATTTGAGAGAGCGACCACCGCGCTCCGCTCCGCGCCGCCGCGCTGCCCCGCTCGCGACGCCCGAAGATGGTATCGCATCAGTCCGATCTACTGGGCCACCGCCACCGCCACCGCCTCTGCCACTGGGGACTGGGGGCAAAAAAGAGGCAAACCGGAGGCCATCCCGTCCGTCCCCACCGAGTCCCTGCTTCAGCACCTCTCCATTTTCCCTCATTAGAGGACTCCGTCCCGGGCCACTCCGCCGAGGCCTGCGCCTCCCGCTCGCCCTCCGTTTTTGCTACACCCTTCTCTCTCTCTCTCCCGCTTCCCTGTCACTTGTTGCGATAATCCGATGCTGTGCTCGCCGAGGGGAAGGGAGGAGGAGGGAGGAGTTACTATCAACATATGGCTCGTCACAAAGTTTTCAGACGGCCACATAAAATCCGCCTCGCCGCCCCCTACCCTAGTCCCTTCTTCTTTCTCTCCTCCTCCTCCTCCTCCTACCCCTTCGGCCGCGAAGTTCGTCGAGGTACGCAGCGACGAGTGCATCTTACAGGCCCTCCCACTTCGTCTCGGAATTTTCCGGGGAAGTTTCCCCGCCAGTTATTCTCGCGCGGTATTTTCCTTACCGAGATTAAAACTACAGCTTGTGGTGGCGGCGGGGCGCGGAGCTAGTTCTGGGCCAAGTCCCCCACCCCTCTGGAACCACCCCCTGGGCTCGGGCCCCTGGGCTCCTTGTGCAACTGGAATCCTATTTTGGCTCGGGGCCGAAGAGGGGCGCGTGAAATAATGGGCATCATTCCATTATAACCAGCCCGGCCCGGCCCCGGCCCGGCCCAGCGTGCCATGAGCCAGCAACTGCAGGAACTTAGGCGAGCCCCGCTAAGCTACGCGAGGCGGGGACACAAATTGACCCTTACCCCGGAGCAGAGCGCCGCTGCACTCACCTTTTATTTTTTTCTAATTTTGGAGCCCGAGCCCACTCTGTCAGCTGTCTGCGTTTTGAATTTCGGCATTCGCATTGGTTTGCTTTCAAATGGCACTCAGTTTGGCGGGGAGTGCCCATCAAAACTCCTATCAGTGTGCCCTACTTTGTACACCATGGTCAATGTTAAGGGTTCTTTTCCTAGAATTTTTTTCCCATTTTTTTTTAAATAATTAAAACAGACTTACAATTTGCCAATTGATTTATTTTTCAGCACATTGTTTTGGAGATTAATAACACTATTAAAACAAAACGATAGATCAATTTCACAAAACAAAACAAATCAAGACAAGGAGATGGAGACAAAGGCAAGATTCTAGGAACCATTACAGTTACAAAACCTTGGTTCATAGCTTTCAGAAGCTATGTAAAAAAAGTACATTTGGAGACTTGATAAGATGCTGGACACATTTTCTAAAAAAAGGTATAGGTGAGTTAAAAGCTTAAACTTGAATAAGTGCATAGTGAAGAATTTAAGCAAGCAATATTGAAATCTCAACAACTCCAAGACAAAAAGGGGAAAATGGCACAAGACCAAAATAGTAGAGAATCAAATCAAGAATGTAAGAGGTGCACAGTCAGGTGTCTTTAAGGAAAATTAATATATGATAGCAATATCCAAAATCAGAAACTTGAAGACTCTATAATGATCAGTGTTTACAAGATACAATGCTAAGACTTTCTTGTGTGTGTATGTTTCATTCAAGAGCGACATTTTGAGTGTATCCACACCGGACATGTCAGTTGAGCTGCCTGATTTTTTATTATTCACACATGTAGGGATATATTTCTAAAGACTACAAGGAAAGAAGTAAGGTGTAAATATCTCAACGCCTATCACACATTTCTGTTGGTCATTTATATGGTTTTAAGCGTTTCCCGTGTATCAACATTCATCACAGTAAGCTCATGGCTTTGGTTACAGTTCTTGAACAAATCAACAAAACCTGCACTCAAGTGCACTAAAGTGGTTTAACACTATTTAAAAATTCATATGTACTCTAGAAAAGTCAAATGTGCATGGCACACTGCGTGTGGAGAACACCACCAGACATTTCAGTTTGGAGTATGCTTTTCAGACACACTACAATTTTCTACCTCATTGCGCTCCCAGAATGGAATGCTTTACGAAACAACTCCATTAGAAAATTCTTGTTAACAAATAAACATTTAAGATACTAGTGTCACTGAACATAGATAAAATCTGCGACAGAATCAAAGCAATAAAGTCCAAAAGTAACTACAATCTCTTGGAGAGCACTTACAAAACACTTAAGTTAAAAAGTTACATAAACTAAGAAAAATTCAGTGTAAATTGGATTTTTGATAACCATGAAAATTTTCTCACAAAGAAAAGTTTCAAATTGTAATCCTACGTTGGCTGAGTTTATAAAATCCAAGCACATATTGTAAACAGTAAATTTAAAGAGACATAGAAAAACATCAAAGGGCCTTTAAATGGTCAAGTCACAAGTATTGTGTAAAATTAAATGCCCTGCATTTCAGTCAAGAGATTTTCTTTCAAATAAGATCTTGCATACTGACATAAATATTGGAATACACTGTGCAGACACTAACGGAGGTGAGGAGACACTTACGAGTAAGAATAGCAATGTCACAAGGACTAAAAAATATCAAGGCAACACGGCTTAATAAGAAACAAACAGTGGTAGAAAACTGCATGTTTACACTTTTTGTTGGAACTGTAACACCTCACAATAACAATATAAAGTAGCAACCTGACTGGGTTCCATAAATTTGACACATTACCTATCGATTTCTTTCAAGTTTACAGTTTTCACAGTTTTGCATCATAAGGATAAAAGAATTCTAGGCACAAAAACTCACTAAACTTGCAGAGGGCGGCAAAAGGCACGGAGCCAAGTAGCATTTCACAACAGGGGAAATACACTGTCACACCACATGCACACATGTACATTTCTAAAACAACATGGCTCACAGAACAAAAGCTCGAGACAGCATTCAATCATATCACAGAGTATATTTGTACAAGAAACTGCCAAACACTTAAGGGCTATTGTGCTAAAACTTTCAACTTTAATAAGTACACAAGGGACTTGATGTCCATTTTACTAAGCAGTTTTGTTAATAGTGGGTAGAATGTCCATGGGCAAACAAACTGCTTTGATGAGAGATGGCATCAAAGAATAAAGGATTTATGGCTCAACCTAAATAACTTCTGGCATGTTGAGCCAAAGGGAACAGCAAGTAGCTTAGAAATAAATTGTTAACTGAACGCAATGTCCACAATCAGGGAGAGTAAGAATCAGGTGTCTCATAAGATAACATAAGTTATCGAATGTCAATACATTTAATACTTCAATGTCTGTCTTAAAAGTAGATCAATTTCACATCATGTGGAATCTACAATAAATTCTGGAGCAGGATGAAGGAGTTTATGAGGAGATTTCTGAGGAGAAAAATGACACTTCATGGATAATGATCATTGACTAGGATTTGTGTCCTGCCTTCATAAACTTCATAAGGTTTCTTCAAAACGTTGATGAAGCATCCTGCAGTGAGTCCTGAAAGACTCATCCAGCAGCAAAGCTTTTAGTCTTGGCGACCAGCTTTCCCACTGGAGAAAATCGGATGTCATACAAAGTCTAAATCCGATTTAATAGATCGAAGGCGGGTCTCCAGACGCCTCTCAAAGAGTTTCTTGCATTCAGAGAAGATGAAGACAGTCGAAGTAAGTGCAACAAGGAACACAATATCTGAAACAGAGGAACATGGCATGAACTGAAATTGTGGTTTATTAATAAAGTGTGTTGCAAAACAGCTGTAGCCTGAAGGTAAATTTACCTGTGAAGTACAAGGCTTCTGTTTGGAATACCATCTGAAGAGGTGGGAAATAGATAACCAGCATCTGCCCAACTATAGAGAGAGTAACAGCCACTAGAAACATACGATTGCTGAACAGTCCGATGGTGAAAACAGATTTTGTCTGGAAGCAAGAACGACAATGGTTACACCACCAGCATCTTCTTTCAAAAAAAAAGGTTGAAAATGAAAAGGGCATACCTGAGAGCGGCAAGACAGAGCATTGAACATGTCAAAGAAGACAAAGCAAGTGAAAGTCATGGTCGTGTCCCTTTTATTGATAAAATTGTCACTCATTTCTCTTTTAAAGACCCATAGTGTGCCCATAATTATGATGATGGCGGATGACAGAACATTGACTATGAGAGAACGAGTGATCATGGGCTCACGGACATTTCTGGGACGCATTTTAACTACATCTTTGTCAACTGGTTCTACACCCAAACTGAAAAAATAGAAAAATTTGTCAGTCAACCTAATAATAAATTTGCTCATTCATATTTTTTAAAAAAAGGAAGATCAATCTTTGAGCAAACCTTTGAGCTGGAGGTCCATCCATAATAATGTTAATCCATAAAATCTGCATGGCATTCAATGGATTAGGGATTCCAAGGAGAGTAGACAGTGCTATTAACGACAAAGCTGCAATGCTGGTGCTTAACTGGAATCGAACAAAGTTACGGATGTTGTGGAAGATGCCTTTGCCTTCTTCAATTGCAGCTCTGCAAGCCAACCAAATGCAACAATTAGTGCACTCACAATGATAATTATATTTTTAAATGACAGAATATAAACACTTTTGTATTCATACATAATAGTGTTGAAGTCGTCATCCACAAGAATCATATCTGCAGCTTCCTTGCACACATCTGTTCCATTTTTACCCATAGCAATACCAATATCAGCTTTTTTCAAGGCAACACCGTCATTTACACCATCACCCGTCATGCCAACAATTATTCCATGTTTCTGGAAAGCCTGAGAAAAAGCAAAAGTCAAATAGGTGAAACCATTCTCCAAAATCTAATGAGAAAAGATGTGAAATAAGTCTAGGAGTTCCTCAAACCTTAACAATGCACAGCTTGTGTTTGGGAGTCACACGATAGAAGACACTGACAGATTTGATTATTTGTTCCAGTTGCTGCTCAGTCAACTGATCCATTTCATCACCAGACAGTGATTGGAGATGCACAGTATCAAGCCCTACAGCAGCAGCTACAAAATAAATGCATGAATTGACAAATGAGTGACTTCTCACACAGGAAAAAGGAGCAGAGGCATAAGTCAACTTACCAATAGCTAATGCAGTTTCTTGTGAATCACCAGTGACCATATTTACACGCACTCCAGATGTTTGCAGCATTTGAATTGCTTCCTTTACATGAGGACGGGGAGGATCACAAATACCAACCAAACCAACAAATATCAAATCATTGAGAGAAGAACCTCTGGCCATGCCAATAACTGTAAAACGCAAAACATAAAGGAACAAATGATACTTGTTATTTTAAGAAAAAGAAATGACCAAACACATGGTGTAAAAAATACCTCTCAATCCTTTCCGAGCAATGTCATGTGCCTCCCCAAGGTACTCCTGCTGTTTCTTTGCATTCATAGGATAAAGTGTCCCTTTCTGAGAGAATTTAGTACACAATGGAAGAATTTTTTCCAAGGCACCTTTCACAAAGAAAAGTTCTTCTTTGGACTGAAAATTAAAATCCATCATCAGTACCTGCTATACACCTAATACCACACAAAGGGCATTTTGAAATAATGAGGCTTACATCTTCATATTTTGCTACACATTTAACTGCCATTATCTTCTCCTCTGAGCTGAAGGGGTATTCCTGAAGCCGCACATACTTCTGTTGCAAGTCATAAATACCATGCTGGAAAAAATAATAGGAAAGTGATGAGATATGTGATGTACTTTCAGGATAGCAATGAAGCAAACAATGAGCAGCGCCCACCTTCATGCCTGCTACCAGGAGGGCTCCCTCAGTAGGCTGCCCCATTAGAACCTCATCGGTAATTTTAGCATTATTACAAAGACAGCCAACCTGCAACCAGGATAAATTTGTGAGAACAAGTGTAAAACAAGTCATCAGACAATATTAAATCAAAGAGGAAAAATAATAGCAATTAATACAATTGATGATTTGAACTTGCCTCTAAAAGCCTATAAATGGATTGCCATGCCGTTTCCATAACATCACAATTGTGGATTCTTATCTCTCCTTGATCATTATATCCAGCTCCAGTGACCTATGTAACATACAAACCACAATTAGTACAGGTTAAAATCTCAAGCAAGACTCTAGCACTTAAAATTTGTAACACTGACCTCTGCTGCATAACCATCAGATGTCAAAAGTTTTGTCACAGTCATTTCATTTTTGGTAATGGTACCCGTTTTATCAGAGCAGACAACATTTACACAACCTAAAATTTGAGAAATTGTCGGAATGAGATTAAGAAAATTCTGAATGTTCTACAATAATATTTGTCATCAAAAGTTTGAAATAATATTGAATACCTAGAGTTTCAACAGTGGGGAGCTTCTTCACGATTGCTTTCCTTTTGGCCATTCTCATGACACCAAGAGCCAGTGTTACAGTAACCACAATTGGAAGTCCTTCTGGGATGGCAGCAACCGCCAAACTAAAAAGTAGAAATAAAGGTTAGAAAAAATTGATTTGTTACTCCTGACAATAAATGAGAAGGGTTGTGAAATTGTGAGCTTACCTTACACCGATGGTGAACATGTCCATAATAGGTCTACCTTGAAGCCAACCCAAGAGCATAATCAGGCCAATAATGCAAAATGAATAGAACGATAATTGTTGGCCAAGCTTGTCCATAGATTTTTGTAATGGTGTTTTAGGAGCCTCTTCAGCTTGCATCATTTTAAATACTTCACCAAATTCAGATCTTTCACCAGTATTAATGACAATACCCTATGAAAAAAAAAAGGATCATAGAATCATGTGGAATATTTGATACACACCACTCAAATAACACTTACCTTTCCATTTCCAGAACGAATTAAAGTTCCCATGAAGGCCATGTTTGTCTTGGATGTGTGTCCATTTGATTTCATAATAGGTCCTGTACTCTTAGCAGCGGGCTCTGTTTCACCAGTAAAGCTACTTTCGTCAATTTCCAGTTTTATGGTTTCAAATAATCGCAAGTCTGCTGGTACACGATCTCCAACAGAGAGGTAAACGACATCACCAGGCACCAAGTCTCTTGCTAAAAACGTCTGGAGTTGTCCTTCTCGCACACTGAAACCAAACAACTTACTATTGGCAAAATTTTCTTAAAACCAGTCTTAAGGTCTAGAACTCTTTCACTAGATATTCACCAATGACAAGAGGGAGGAACAAGTTTAGTCAATTCCTGAAGTGATTTTTCAGAACGATATTCTTGAACAAATGCCACGGTGACGACAATAATGATTGCCTGCAGAAAATATTTTGGCACTATTAGTGTGATAAGTGATAAGATTGAAAATTAATTAGGGAAAGGAGAATGGAAGGGTGCTTACCACAGTGATAGAAACTGCATCGTCGAATTGCTTCATGCAAATACTGACAGCTGCAGACCCCAAAAGGAGCATTATGAGTGGGTTCCTGAACTGGAAGGACAGACAAAACATGAGGTTAATCACAAATAAAGTCCTAACACAATTTTTTTCTACATTTATTAATACCAGTACTCACTTGTTCTATGTATTTTTTCCATGTTGGATCTTCCTGAAGAACAGACAGTTCGTTTAAGCCCGTCAATGATCGTCTCTGCTCTGCCTCATGCCACCCTAGGCCAGTCCTGACATCAACACGAAGCACTCCAGCGACCTCTTCTACTCCCATGGAGCAGACTTCACTCGTAGACATCCACATGTCGAATTGTTCTTCAGCAGATAATGGAGGATCACCCTTCTGCTGTTGCAGTTGTTGGGCCTGCTGTTGCTGTAAAATAAGAAACAGTGATAATATTATACCTTCTGTACTGCCTCCAGACATGGACAACAAACAAAAAAATGAGTAACAACTCAACTAAAGATACCATGCAAAGAAAAAAAAGGGTGAAGAGAGGATAGGAAACACAAAACCTTTACTAAGGAAAGAAAGCAGCAGAGACACTCATTGCCAAACATTTTTAACTAATATAAATTGAACTATCACATCCTTGTCCAAAGCAGGCTGCCAGTCACCAATTAAATTCTTTAATTGTTTCCAAAGAACTTACAAATTATGGCTTGTTAAGAAGTGTTATCATCCGTCTTCTTGCCTAGAGTGCAAGTCAAACATTTGCAGAAGCGATGCTTACACCTGAAACACTATTGCCATTCCACAGGATAAAATACATCAAAATTTACTACTTGAGACACAATGGTTAAAAAATATTCCAATGTTAGTGAAAGTAACGGAAAATTTTAACTAGTTAGCCATCATAAAAATTGACATGCTGCCACAATGTGGAATGAGAAAAGTGTCCAAGTGAGTCATGCTTTAAACGGACACAAAATGTGCGTCATCCGCACATCCTTTTACGTTTCAGCCCCAAATTATCCCTGACCTAGAAAAGAACGGCAATCGTTTACTATATCAAGTCAGCAAAAACTTGGGATTTCATACTTAATATTGTGCAAGTACTGAAACAACGCAGAGCGCAACTACAAGAGGTGCAATGCGTTAGTGATTCGCTACATAAAACTGTGATATTCAAGAACCAAAAATTATTAAAAATTAAAAACCAAAAGTAACTACATTCTTCCATACGGGTTCAAGAGTTTTTACCTTGTCACCTCTCATCGGAATCGTCATGGTGATTGAACTGCTTCCAACAGGGCAAAAAATATGACTCCCTCAACAGTCCTCACTCACTCCGCGTCGCGGTGAAGTTCATTCCCTGCACACAAGGCACACAGTGCCAAAACCCTCACAGGCAATGACCTAAGCCTTCCCGCTGCACTTTAACCTCCCGGGGCAACGATAACACGGCTACACTACGACAACGTCAGATTCCCGAAGGTTAGGTTCCTATTTGTTGACGACGGGGTGCATCATCTGCTCCGACGGGTCCCTTCCCGCGAGACGAATCTATTCAAACGCAGGGGAGCAGTGACAGCGACGGGACGTTGCCCCAGCACTGCCGCGTCAGGGCTTAAAAAATGTAGCGAGGGACACGGGGCCCTGGCTGCCAATCGATACTGCCTCGGCTCGGGGCCGCCGGGGGTAAGGCTGACGGGGCTTGGGGCTGGGGCACTCGGACGGTGCGGCTGCGGCTGGGGCGGGGCGCCACTCGGCACTTAGGCCCCAAAGAGGGACCAGCGACCAGCGAGCCTAACCTACCGCAGGGCCGCAGAGGCGATGCTCGGCGCACATCGGCGAGGCCGGGCTGGCGGCGGCACTGGCACGGCGCCGTCCAGGCACACTCTCGCGGTTCAATCAATGCACCGTTTTCCCATTCATTCCCCGCAGGCGCCGCCGGAAAAGTTTTCAAGGCATTGCTGCGGGAAAACAACAAGACAGCTCGACTTGACAGAAAACCCCACTGACGGTGCGGCTGGCCATTGGTGGCTCGCCGGCCAATGGGAGGGCTCGGTGCCCCCCGCCCCTCTCCTGCAGTTTCGGGAGGGGGAGGGGGCAACCGTTGAGCGTTTACCCCCGGCAACCTCGACAATCAGGGCATCGATTTGATTCCGGAGTGATCTGCACACGGATTGGGGAATGTCGGTTCGGAGCGGTCGCGGTGCCGCTCGGTGGATGCACGAGGGTACACGAGGGCAGCGACGGGCCGCACACGGGTGTCCCGGCCCCGCTCGCAGGGACGTCTAGCGAGGGCAGGTTGGTACGGCCTTGGCGCGGGCTTCTTTTGAAGCGGAGCGCGACCCTTGCCAGGTTTTTGCGGAGCGGAGGGGGTTGAAGTGCAGAGCAGAGAAGGCCCGAGTCCTCCCACATTTTCCAGCGGAAAGTGGCATTAAGAAACCCACAATAAAACACGCCTGGCCCAGGCAAGCCGGTGGCATGCCCCCTCACTCGAAATTCTCAAACAAAAAACCCTGAAAACTCAGGGAGGGACAAACGGCAGACTGCGATTTTACCTTCCTGAGCGCAAATCTCACGCAACTAATTTGATCGCTTTAAGTGTCCCTTTTTCAGTGGAAACCGTGAAAAGCGTGTTTGCCCCGATGAGACACGCACTGACGGCCGGACAGTGGTGTGGCCCGGCTAGCGGCGCGGCGCGTACTGCCAGGGTCAGGCCGGCTTGGCCGGGCTTGGCGCCGGCGGCAGCGGCAGCGGGCTCTAGTGCCTGGTGCGGCCCTCGGCCTCGGCGGGGTTGCGCGCTAAGCCCGGCGACCGGCGACCCACGAGTCGAAATCCCTTATCGCCAGCCAGTCCAGAATGATTCAGAAAACGTTATCCTACTAGTCAGAAGCTGAATGGGGCTGAAATCTCTACCAGATTAGCCCAGGAACGGATTAAGCCCATCGGCCAGGTGGTTCGGTTTCAAGAAGGCGGCACTCAGACATGACGCGTCTTTGACGCCCTCTCTCTCAACCGAAAAATTACTTTTGTTTTCATTTTTCCGAATTGTTTACTTCAGTTTTGGCCCGACTGCCGTATCACTCAGGGCACCCCGTGGTATCGCCGCCGCTCCGCGGAACCGCCCAGACAGGTGAAACCGGTGAAACCTTCAACTTGAGACGCCTGACAGCCCGGCGGCGATAGCGCCGAGACATGCGTGGGTCTCCATTCATGTCCTGCTTGCAGTGCTGTATACAGTGTGGCATCCCCCATCGACCCGGCAGGCCCGGCAGGCCCGGCAGGCCGCCTTGGAGAGGCCCGGAGCAACACAGCTGCGTTTGCCAACGCCCCCCGTCCCCGTCCCCCAGCTCGAAAAAACCCGGCCGCTCCACTCCACTGTGTTGCGAAACCGCGGCGCAAAACGAGCGTGGCGCCTCGCCTTGGGGACACTGGACTTGGGCGCGGCGTCGCGTCGATTCCATTCAGGCACTACACCACGCTTCGGCGCGGACGCGGGCCGACGCAGTCCACTCCACTGTGCAGTGGCGCGCGGCCGAGTACAAACAATCTGATTTCATTGAGCGCCTTCTACGAGGCCAGTGGCGAGAAGCAACGGTTCGATGGTTCGACCCCCGGTCGAGGGGCACGTCACCTGAGAAATGCGTGTAGTACACAGTACCCGCACTCTCTGCCCCTGACTGAGCCGGACAGAAAAATAGCTGGTTTCAGGGACTTCATCATGAATTTTTCCTCATTTTCATCTATTTTTCGCAAAGTCATTTCAGTGGCCGCGCGTGTCCTGTCCTCCTCCGATAAGGCGGACGACCAGTCACCGGGTTTACGGTCCGCCTTGCAAACATAAAACGCGACTCCCGCGTCGAGGTGCGACCTCCGAGGCGCCAGCCGCCAAGCCGCCAAGCCGCGGTGCGACTCGTCTCCCGTGTAATTGTTTTCGAACCAGCTTTCCTAGTCACTGCGCTGCGCGTGGCTGCGCGCGCTAGAATTGCCGCCTGGTTTCGAAGGATCGTTTCGTCGCCCTGTCTCTGTCGCACTCGCGGGGCGCTCCGCGCGGGCGAGAGAGAGACAGAGTGACGAAACGATTTCTCGGAATCAGGCGGCTGGCTGGCCGCTGTGCAATTAAGAATGACGAGGGTCATGGGAACGCATGCCGCCATGCGCCGCCATGTGCGCGAGGATTCCCGTTGCCCGCCGTCCCCGCTTACGGTGGCCCCCCGCCCCGCCCCGCCCCGCCCCCGCCCCTGCGGCTGGATCGAAACATCCCCCCCCCCCCGCGACCACCCCGACAATCATCGTTCAGTAGGCAAGCCGAGTGTTTGTCCGCGAACCACGTAACGCCTGGCTGGCTGCCCTGGCCAGCGACAGAGAGGCGTCTCTTCGATCGCGGCCCGGCCGGGGGGTAGGCAAACATGCAGCACCGGCGAGCACCGGGCAGTGGGCCTGGACTAGCCTGGACTGGGGCGGACTACCTACCCCAGCCCAGCACACTGCAGGGGTCAGGGCAGGCGGCTCCGTGCACGCACTGGGACTTACAATCAAGGCAAGGGCGCGGTCCTAGCGCAGGACAGGGGGCTCCAGGGGGTCGTGCACGCACTGAACTTACGATCAAAGCAAAGACGCGGTCCCAGGGCCGCTTGCGCAGTCCGGCGAGCGAGCCGAGCGTGCCGGCCCCGGCGCACCGGTGGCGCTCGTGCCCCAGCCACAGCGGGATCATGGCGACGTCCTTCCGGCCGAGTTCCGGCCGAGTTCCGGCCGAGTTCGGGCCGAGTTCCGGCCGAGTTCCGGCCGGCGGTGTGGAGGCGGTGGAGGCGCCGCGCGGTCAGGCGACTCGCATGCCGGTGGCGTCCCAGGACGTCCCAGGGCGTCCCAGGATGACGGGGAAGGACCGCGAGCACCGCGAGGACGCTCGTTAGCGATTGGTCACGCCGGGCTGACGCCGGGTCTAACGGGAAGAGCGGTTGGGCCTTGTGGGGTCCGCGACAGTCCGCGGCCGCCGGGGATCTGTGATGTCTCTGATCTGTGGCACTCGGTCAGCCCGTGCTTCCACGGACCACGGAAGAACAAGAGCAAAACCAGCCCGGCCCGCGCAATCATACGGCCCACCATGTGTGTGTGTTTGTGTGTGTGAGCGGGAGTGTGCGTCCTCTTCTCCCATGCAGCAATCTGTATTGTATCATCGAAGGCGCGCGGAACGGAGCGAACGCGTTCCGGCGATGCGAACGTCCGATAGCGCTCTAATTCAGTCGAGTCACCGACCGGCCCTTCGCACACACAGTGGACACACAGCACAACGCAGCATCTGTCAACACGCACGGCAGCTTCGTCGCTCCGTCTCTCTCGCACTCATGGGACGCCCCTAGTGAGTGCGAGAGAGACTGCGGTGCTCTGCCAAGGCTGCCACTGACCGGTGCAGCGAGCAGCGGCCTCGTGCAATCGCCTCGCATGCTTCGCATTGTCTAGCCAGCCAGCAGAGGCCAGCCATGGGCCACCATGGGCCCCATGGGCCAGCAGCCGGCCGCGTCAACAAAGGTCGGCGTTTCCATGTTTCCTCGGTTCCCTCGCAGGCTCGAAGCCGATGCAGGTCGCCGAGGTCGAGAACACTGCCTCCCCACAAGTCAGTGAGGATGAAGGAGCCTCCTGGCGGCAGGCAGCCCCTTCAGCACACCGCGTGCGTGAAGTGCGTCAAGTTGGATGGGTTGCCCACCTCCAGGCGCTCCAGGCGCTCCAGGCGCTCTAGGCGCTCTAGGAAAAGAAGGTAGCGTCTCCGCCCACTTATCCTGCTCTTGAAACTGAGGCCGTATCGGTACATTTAATCATCCCACGAGAGGACGAGAGCAAGCGTTCGTGTCGGGAACAGATTTGAGTGTTGCCGCGGCGACAAGCGCGCCGTGGAGTATTCGCAGTGCAGACGCGACGCAAGCGCCCTCTGTCGCCCGTCGTCCAAAGCAAACTGATTATTCTCAGGAAGGTGAAGCATCATCATCAGCCATTCAACTCGGATGCTTGCATTCTTCTTTTCAAATTTTCACTTTCAGGAAGTTTTTTTCTGGTTGGGAGACTTTGGTTAATCTAATTTTGGAATGCTAGCATTTTACAGTTTAAATTTATCACTTTCCACCCGTAAAGTTAGCCATGATATATTCATGTGAAGAGTATAGCCTAATCCTCTGACGTCTTTCATCCGAATAGAGTACGTATAATTGTCTGTTTATTGTAAATTTCTAGTTAATTAATGTTCTGTTTCCTTTCAGAATACTCTGCTTAGACCTATTTCCTCGAGGGTTACATTCCTCTCGAAGGGCCATTTCACCCACGATCTCTCTGTTTTGCTTTTTGTTGCCGCAACTTAGCGGGTGCCGGCAAGAGCTTTTCACAAACAATAGTCGTGGCGTTTTTCGCGATATTGCCGATATTCCGCGGTTTTCCCGATCCAAAGATCCAGAATCTGGCATGCTGTGATCTGGGGCACAACTTTCACACCCTAAGAATGCCCATTTCACTCGAATGCCCCTCCTACCTGCAGAAAACCACCACCTACCCCCGAAATATTTCTCAAACCGAAAACTATTTTTTCTAATTTTGCCGGTTTGATGGGTTTGGGGGCGGTTTTCGCCAAGTCCATTCAGTACCTCCTTTAGAAGTGCTTCCATTCCGAATCGCGCTTACAAGTCCAGCAATTTCCCAAATAAACTTAAATCAGTATCAAAGTTTAACTTATGTTTACATTGAGGTTAGGTTATGATTTAATGAATGATATTTTTGACTATTCTATTCTGTTAAATTTTCTTGTCCTGAATGCTACTAACTTTAGTGTAGTCAAATATTTTGTCTAGTTTCTTATAAGCTCTACTTACCTCCCTGTAGCTGAGATTGATTAGACCGAAATATGTTAATAAGTTTATGTTTGCAGGTCCAGTGAATTCAATTGGTCAAAATGTCGAAGCGACCTGCAGATAATAGTGATGGCAGTGGGCAGCCACCTATCAAGAAAGTCCAATTTGAGCCAATGCGTATTGGACCAATATCAACATTAGAAGAAATGGACATGAAGGTTCTTCAGTTTCAAAATAAGAAGCTCGCTCAAGTAGGTTTTTGTCAGTATTCTGTTTTATCTCCTGTTCATGAACTTAGCATCTCTACAGGATTCTTCAATCTATTACAGAGGCTTGAGCAGCGTCAGAAAACAGAGGCTGATCTAAGGCAAAGAATAGAGCAGCTTGAAAAACGTCAAACTCAAGATGATGCTATGCTTAACGTAGTTAACAGATATTGGAACCAGTTAAATGAAGATATCCGTGTTCTCCTCCAACGGTTTGATGCAGAGACTGCTGATGAGTCTGAGAATAAAAGTAAAAAAAAATTGAATCTTGAATTTTGCTCTTCATTTTGTTTGTGAAATATGTGGTGCTAATTTTTTGGACTCTCTCAGATGAAAATGAAGCTACTACTTCATTTTTAATGCAGTTGTCAACATGGGACAAAGAAGAGTTAGATGAAAAGTTGGCAAATCGGGTTCAAGTCTCAAAGCGAGCTGTTGCAAAGGTCATTCAAGCTTTTGACCGCTTACAGCAAAGAAATGAGAAAATTACCTTAGCATTGAAAGGAGAATTAGATGGAGGTAATTTTCTTTAAGTTTTGTCTCTTTCCATTCAACCTCTATTTTAATTTGTGTACTCCGATAACTACCTGCCCATGTTCTTTTTCCCCAGATGAAGCTCCCAGCATGGATGAAACTATACGACAAGCCAACATTGAGGTTCAGGCAGAAAATCGAAACCTTCAAGCTCTCAACACATCTCTTCATGAAAAGTACCATAACATATCATTGAAGGTGAGTTTATGAGCCAACTTAAATCATTTGCTTTGACTGTGAGGAATACATGAACTGACAATGTCACTTTAACAATTCCAGCTGGCTGAACTTCAAGACCAGGTTAATGGTAAAGAAACAGAAGCTGCTGAGCTTCGTAACCAAATCGATGATTTGCAATATGAAGTTCAAAAATTTTCACAGAGGAATGACAAACTAGAAACGTCATTGGCAGATGCTATTGAACAGCTTAAAACTTACCAGCAAATGCAACAGCAGCAAGTAAATGAAGGCAGTTCTCAACCCAAGCCAGTGAATGTTGTCTCTACCGTGTCTCAAAAGAAGGTAAGTTATTTTATCAAGTATTTAATTATGTTTGCCTACTGGCCTCAAACCTAATCCCATCACCCTATTTATTTCAGTGTGAGGATTTGCAGAAAGAGTGTGAAGAACTCCGCGAGATGTCCAACAACCGTTTACAGGAATTAGATAAGCTCCACATGCAGCATAGAGACACACTGAAGGAAGTTGAAAAATTAAAAATGGATGTAAGTGGTTTGAAACTTTTTGTTTTATTAATAGATACAACCATTGTATTGGCCAACTTATTTTTAATTTAATTTGTGCCTCATTTCACAGATAAGGCAGCTTCCTGAGAGTGTAATAGTTGAAACAACCGAATACAAATGCCTTCAATCTCAATTCTCTGTTCTGTACAATGAGTCAATGCAGTTAAAGACCCAGTTAGATGAAGCAAGGCAGCAATTGCAGGGCAGCAAAAATGCTCACCTGCGACAAATTGAAATGATGGAGGTAATTTTCTTTTTCTGCATTTTAAGCTGCTTTTAGTGATATTCTTGCCCATTGTCACTTGGCAACTTGTTTTATGTTTCTTTATTTTTCTTATTATTGAATTTGTGCCTTTTTAGAGTGAAGAGCTGCTAGCTCAGAAGAAACTTAGGACAGAAGTTATTCAGTTAGAAGATCTTCTGGCTCAGTTACGAAAAGAGTATGAAATGCTGCGCATTGAGTTTGAACAGAATTTGGCTGCAAATGAACAAACAGGGCCCATAAACAGAGAAATGAGACATCTAATTACATCACTCCAGAATCACAACCAGCAGCTGAAGGGTGAGGTTCACCGATACAAACGCAAATACAAAGACGCAAATGGTGAACTTCCAAAGGTGTGTAGACTTGGTTTCTTAATTTACTGATGGAATTGCTCATGTTGTTTGTACCTTATTTACTCAGTGATAAAATAATTAATACTTTTGTTTTAGTTGAAGAGGGAGGTGGAGGATCTTCAGCAGAAGCTAGAAGAACATGCAGCTGCAGCTGAAAAACAGGAATGTGCATCAAGCGAATCATCAGTTAAGGAGGAAGAAGAAGGAAATTCTGAGCTTGTCAATGTCAAGGAAGAACCAGCAATGTCAATCAAGAAAGAAGGAAGTGGAGATGAAAATGAGGTTTGTGGAGACACCTCTAATTTTATGTCTTTGCCTTTGCACCTTTAATTCATCTTGTCTCGCTTTTTCCTCTGCAGCAGTTAGATGAGGTGGAGATGGACCCATCCATGGATACATCTCTCATGTCCCCTAAAGATAATAAGGACATCAAACAAGGCCAGGGAGCAGTGGCTCAGCAAGGAGCTCAAAGTCAGACGGTAAGTTTTTTTCACAGGAATTTATTACAAACAATGGAATTTAAAACATTTACTTAATGATGTTTTCATATTGTTTAGCCGGTTAAGACAAATGCTAGTTCCACTCCAGCCCCTGGAGTTGTGAATGACGTGAAGAAAGAAATGAAATGTGAACCTGGAAGTGATCCTCACCGGTCAAAGGAAATGAAAGGACCAGAATCAGAGCAAGTTCGAGAACTTCGTGCTCAGCTAAAGTCAGTAACCTGCGCTGGTAACATTGCTTTTCTTGCATTCCATTACTTGACTCAAGTTATTCTTATTGTATGCTCTTATTAATAGGAAAGCCCTGAACGACCAGAAAGAAATGAAACTTTTGTTAGACATGTATAAAGGTGTTAGCAAAGAACAACGAGACAAGGTGCAGCTCATGGCTCAAGAAAAGAAGAACCGTGCTGAACTTGAAGAGCTTAGACAGCAAATTAAGAAAATTCAGGTAATTTTTTTTCAACTTGCCTGGTGCTGGCAGCAAAGTTTGGTTTCTTATCTAAGGTAAAAATGAAATTAAACTATTTTTTTCACAGGAAAGCAAACGTGAAGACAGGAAGAAATTGGCAGATGAAGATGCTATGCGTAAAATAAAGCAACTGGAAGATCAGGGATATCAACTTCAAAAGCAGTTGGCTACTCACAAGCAGGTACAGAAATGCCCCTTTGATGTTAAGCTACTCCATCTCATTTTCTGTTATGCTTAATACTGTATTTTTGCAGGAGGAAGAGGCATTACTTAATGAAATGGAAGTGACAGGCCAGGCCTTTGAAGATATGCAGGAGCAAAACTCAAGACTTATCCAGCAACTTAGAGAAAAGGATGATGCTAATTTTAAATTAATGACTGAACGAATTAAATCTAATCAATTACACAAATTAGCAAGAGAAGAAAAGGATGTCCTAAAAGAACAGGTGCCCTTTCTTTGCTAAAGAGATACATTTCTTTTCATCAATATGCAAGTGTCTCATGTTTCTTTGTTTTTTTTTTTTCAAATGTAATAAATAGGTGATGACCATGACTACCCAAGTAGAGGCTACTAATCAAGTCGTCCGGAAATTAGAGGAAAAGGAAAGAATACTCCAAAATTCTCTCGCAACAGTTGAGAAGGAGTTAGCCCTCCGACAGCAAGCTATGGAAATGCACAAACGAAAAGCCATTGAGAGTGCACAATCTGCTGCAGATCTAAAACTGCATCTTGGTGAGAAGAACTTTCAATTGCAATCCATTCATTGAAATAATAATTAAGAGGGAAAGCACTGACCAACCTTGTTATTTATTTGTTTTCAGAAAAGTACCATGCTCAAATGAAGGAGGCACAGCAAGTTGTCACTGAAAAAACAAGCTCTCTAGAGGCTGAGGCGTACAAAACCAAAAGACTCCAGGTGGGTTTACTAATTCAAGTTTTGATGGTTTTGTTAAATGTTCAATTGCTGACGTTATTCTTGTTTTTTATTATCTTATAGGAAGAGATTGCTCAGTTACGTCGCAAGGCAGAACGCATGAAGAAGATTGAGCTTGCTGGTACTTTAGATGAAGTTATGTTAGAAGAAATTCGAGAATATAAAGAAACTCTCACATGCCCATCTTGTAAAGTTAAACGCAAAGATGCAGTTCTCTCTAAGTGTTTCCATGTTTTCTGCTGGGATTGTCTCAGAACAAGATATGAAACAAGGCAGCGAAAATGTCCGAAATGTAATGCTGCATTTGGTGCTAATGATTATCACCGTCTTTACCTATCGACGTAATATTCTAGGCAAGTAAGGAGTGTTTGAAAATTTTCATAGCCAATTGTCGTCAGGTTACTGTTGTAATCTGATATTTTGTGATAAACTATGCCAAGATAATTTGGAAACATGCAGAGGTCATTCATCAACTTGTAATCATTTTAGGTTTAGACCTTGGCTGAATGTGTAACTAGGTGAGTTGAGAGTGTATATCTTAACATATTTTGACAATATGAAGATATTGTCTTCCAAGACAGATCCTCACCTTATCAATTGGTGGTTTTGAGAGGACCAAATCCTCCCTTATTTAGTATTATTTTTTTTCTAAAGTTTTCTTTGTTTTATGTCTTTTTCTTATCATGGCTCTGTTAATGGAAATGATGCTGACCTCGGGGCAAGCCCTGTATGTGCGAGGCACTCAAAATAATTCTTGATAAGTCGTCCCCCACTTAGCTACTGGACTGGTTTTCCTTTGCCTTCTACGGTTTTGATAATTCACTATATTTTCCTCCTCATAAATATTTTAGGGATTGCAAATTGGCTCTTGTGTCAGATTAGCTTTGATTCTGTGATACAAATCGCATTTACTGTATCTTTTTAGGTGATTTTAAAACTTTTTTGTTCCTTAAATATTTCATAGACTACATAACTGGTAGAAGGGCATGGAGAAACAAATACTTAAATCATATAATAAAGATACAAATTAGCTTGCCTAAAGATTTTAATAGATTTTTTTTGCGTGTTTTGTTGTTTTTTTTTGACATTGTGAGCTCTTACTTATCCAGCCTTCAAAATTACTTACATCATTATTAAATAAGAAAAATTGGTTGTGATTTTGGATTGCATGGTTGCAAGTCAACATTTCTCTACTGCAGTGTACAAGCTAAATTGCCTTTGAAGGGAACAAAATAATTTACTTTTAAACTGTGTACCTTTAATCAGTTGTTCTTACACTAAAGCTCTGGAAGAGGACTTCAATTTATTCATACAACAGTTGGAATTTTGTATTTTGATTATTGTTGCGTAAAGGAGTGGCTGAGTCATAGTTAGTCCATTTTTCCATACCTAGTAGTATTCTCCAAGCACTGTGATATTTCATATTCAAAATTATGTCTTTGTATATTTGTAAATGAAAGTGGTTGTGTCTATGTAAATGTTGTTAAGATCAAGACTGGGAACTGGGGGGAAACGTTTGGTAGCACTAGATTTGCATCTGGTTTGTTTATATAATGTAGGTTTGGTGCTATTATGTTTTATGAAGAAGCCTTGTAAAATATCTTTATGAACACTGACTTTCATATTGTTTTATATGGGCTTCTTTGCAAGTCTATCTTCCTCAGAATTGGTGTGGGAAAATGGACTGTTTCAAGCTAGGATTGGTTTAGCTTGGTGTGTCCTTGTAAAGTTTGTAAGAATTTGTGTAAACAAGAAACTTCTTGATTGATGTCAAAAATTAATGCTGTTGAATAAAAGCAGTGAGTACATAATGAAAAATGTGTTTATTTGAAATTACAGCTCCAAATGTACATTTGTTAGCTCTACACATCTTTAAATTCCAAATGATACATTTTTTCAAGTAAAAAGCTTGGTTCTAACTCTTCAGAAATTTCTTGAAATACTCCATCTATGATATCCTCACACAACCTAAAATGAAAGATACAAGTACTGTAATTGTTTGATCTGGGTAGTACTTAATGCATTAATTACCCAATGTCGACATTACCTCTGAATAAATGGGCTCTGGACTTGTGAATTATATTCAGAAAATCTTTGCCTGTAATTCAAGATGTTGTGTATGGGCCCTTTACGAAGTCCTGAAATGGGGACATCTAAAACCAGCCAAAGGAAAATAAATTAATACAAATAATACAAATAAATCAATACAAATGATACAGTAAAAACAAAGGGTGACAACTTACTAGGATCAGGCAAATTGGTCAACACCTCATCTGAACCTGGAGTAGCGTTGTCATTTGATATTCCAGTCAAAGATGGAGGAGCAGTTGCCCATCCAACTCTCTTTGATTTTCTCAAGTCTCCTGAAATTAGAACAAGGAATTCTCTGAACAATCCTCTGGCAAACAAAGACTCAATGAAAAAAGCCTGTCCTTAAGAAATGTAACTTACCCTCAAAGTGCGGGGACCTTTTATTATCAGTGAAGTCAGCAGTATCTGTTGCAGCATCTCTGTAACCTTCTGTATCACTATCACAATGTTGTGTGATGACCAATTGCACATTGTTTGACAGATTTTGAACTTGAGTCCTGAAAAAAAAAAAAAACCTTTGAATATAACCTTTGAGTTGATTAGATCTTTGTTGAATTATCATATTAAATCACTGACTTACAGGGGCTTCTTAGGATCACTTGATTTTCTCTTCCCATCAATCGACTTGACATGCCTGCTTTTCTTCTTTTTCTTGGCAACAACCTTATTACAAAGCACATCATGCATGTGAGTTATGATCTCTTTCAGCTCAGAGTTACAACAGTTATAAATCTGAGTATCTTTCTGCTTTTTCTAAAATAAAATAAACACTAGTCAATGAATGGAGGATAAAAATATGCTACAGTGTGGTAGATGGAAAAACGATTTTGTTTTGCAAATTCTAAAAATCTACAATTTACCTCTTTATGTGAATTGCGACCTCTTGACGAGACATGTGCACTCACACTACTACGAACTGAAGATGGAGGGCCGAATTTAGCACGAGCTAAGTAGGAGGAAGTTTGCTTCCAAGAACCTCTATGTATACCATTATTTGTGCGTGACACAGCTTGTTGGGTCCTGGGCATCAGACTCCCTCTAGCACTAAGAGGTGAGCTAGCACGAGCACTCAAGCTTATGTCTTCAGGCTCAGTTCGTTTTTCCTCTAACATTCGAAGAAGTTCTTTGCACTTCAAATAAACTTCCTTTTTTTAAAGAAAAGGAACAACGTTAAATTTGAGTAGTCTATTAAAAAGCAGCAAGAAGGTTTAAACACCCTACTTACATCTGTTTCCTCTGTATCTTCAAACCCTTCAATTATTCCAGCATGAATGTCAAGCTGGCTCTTCAATGAACTGAGGTCACAAAGATGGTGCAAAAGGGTTCTTAGCTTGCCAAATATGTTCAAGCCTTGCAGTGAAGAAGGTATTTGTGTCAGATAAGCCTTCAAAAAGTTGAATTATTTTTAGGTTTTGACTTTTGGAACAAAATAGAAAAAATATGTAGAACAGGGGCTATACTAGGAGAAGGAATTTACCTGTAGGCTTTGTACTGCTGTTTGGTGAGCAGAAACTAGTTTTTGCATCAAAGCCTGGAGTTCAGTATGTCGCCCTGGTGTTTCTGTGGATGCACAAGCAACATGCTTACGCAGTTCAGCCACCTGGACAAGACAAAACTTGAAGACAATTTTACAAAAGTAGGTTTACAATCAAAACATGTGTATCATAGATGTTTTGGTGGAAGCATGAGAAAGACTAAATGAGGCAATCACCTGTCTCTGAAACTGGAAGAGATAATTGCGGGAAAATCTGGAAAGAAATTCATTAAGGCGAGTTTTTCTTCTCTCTAAGTCATCTGGTCCATCAGGCTCCGCAGGCTGGCACTGAATCATTCCTGTGATACTGTCTAAAGCAATGCTTATTCGTTGTCGAAGTAAAACTATCCGCTGAAGAGTTCCGGTTTCTTGAACATTTGCCCCTCCGTCTGTAACTAAATGATATCGGTCAGAAGTTCATCAAATTACAACAATTTAACTGAAATTGAATTGAAGACACTGGCTGAAATCCAACTGAGCTATGTAAGGAAAGCCTTTACACTTTACCTGTAGGAACTGGCCGTTTAAATGGCAAGCGAGGACCTTCTATTTCAGAGGGAATGCTTTCCGGCCCAAACTCGATAGGGGCTGAGGTTCTGGTAATATCTTTTTCATCTGCAGCATTAATCTGGGATGAAAATTAAACAGCAATCATCAGTGATTCCTCAAAGCTCTGCTTTCTTCAAGCTTGCTCTACATACCTCTTTACAATGACAGCAAGACGATGGTTGACACTCCAGCTTTTGATCACTGTCCTGTTTAAAAATGTTAATCTTGAACACAACATAGTTCAATACAATCATGTGAAAGGATGGATCCGAACATACCTGATTGTTTTCGGGCACGGCAATCTTATCCCTATCCTCAACAAATCGTTTCCACAGTAATGCATCTCTCTCCTTCTGTTTTTCCCTGCGAACTTTACGAACGATGCGCAAAAGTTCCTCCTCTGCTACATACTGGGAAAGAAATAAAAAAAATATAATTTTGGCGAAATGAGTCAAAGTCAAAAGACCTTAAAATTATTGAAGAACTTATGAGAGCAACAAACCTTAAATTTGAAAGGTTCTGAAATTGCATTTGCAGTGCAATTACTGTTGATTTCCATATTGTACAAAATGTCTTAAAATAAAAGCAATTTATCGTTCAGCAAAAGCTATCATTTGGAAACAGAGAAGGAGGAAAAGATCATTGGTAAACAGCAGATATCGCTAAATTAAACAGTAGCCGATAGACAGCAGCGGGGAAAAAATTTGAAACGTTCAAAACAAACAAATGAGAGGGTTAGGTTTGCTTTGACGTTAGATTTCATTGGTTATTGCAGTCACTTCCACCAACCAATCACAGTAGCCGAAATGAATTGCGTTTGTAAAACCAACCCACAAGGCGAAAACAGCTGCTGTATTTGCCGTCAAAATTAAAAAAAGCCGACTTTTTGTGAACTGTGGCATAAACTTCTCGTGGCCTATGATTTTTGACGATTATAGATTATCATGTTTAGCTTGTTTACATCTTTTATCGTGGTTCTGCCAAAAGGGTAGTGTGGTACCAACAAGCTCGAAAGCCGCTCGTCAGCTGTTAGCAGAAAGACTGCAGTGGGGGGCGGGGTGGAGTGGGAAGACAGCAGACGGCAGACGGCAGACAGACAGTCAGTTAGCAGTCAGAAATGGCGACACGAGTAGCATCTGGTTTTATGCGATCCGCTAGTATTTTTAAAGCTAAACCCGTTGAAATGCAAATCCAAAGAACAAAGACTACAACCAGAAGTGGCCGCGTTCTCCCCAAGCCGAAGACGCATTCGTTCTCGTTCGTAGGGTCTTTCTTCGTTGCCAATGCGGGCATTTTGACTGGCGCATCCTTCAGCAGGGCATTTGCCAACTTCCTAGAAGAACATGATTTGTTCGTGGTCGAAGATGACGACGACGATGACTAACTCTCCTCTCGACGCCAATTTTTTCTGCTGTAAATTTAAGGTAAGCACCTGTACGCAGTCTTCTCTAAAGTCGCTTCTATTCTTTTAAAAACCGTAAAGGACACTCAACTAGGGCATTTTTCTATGACTATTGTTCAATCACATTCACCGTCAGTTTGTTTCACCACAATTAGTTGTGTCAATTATTGATTGAAAGGCTGTTCCGATTCTCTTCTACCTTATAATCCTGCTCCTCCACGGCATTAATAAGGTGCCACTTCAATTAAAATTTGTCTCTTACAGGCACAAGTGGAAGTCAACCGTTGGCAGATGGGTGGTACTGGACCTGCACCACATTTTTATGACATGACTGCCTGCTACTGCCAGGCTGTGAAAATGACTCTTACTTTATTCTGACGTTATTTAATTTGTGTTACCACTGATAGTTTGTGTTCTTAGTTCTTTAGAATTTAACATGCTTAATGTATTATTTATGACCCTGTTTGAAATTTAAGAAATAAAAATGTATTGAAATTCTTAAAGAACTGTGTTCTTCATACTACCTCTCTTGTAAATGTCTTCAGTCTAACAGCAACGTAAATGAATAGGTTTTGGATTTAACAAATGAATGGTTCAAGGGGCTTTATTTAAGGATTTACAATTTGGTCTCGGAATGCAAGAGACGTTATTGCCTTACTGTGGCCGCTGTATTCCCTTTCTACAGTGCCTTTCTCTATATTCCACAGCCGGGCTATACCATCAGAAGATGCTGAAATTAGATAACCAAATTTATGCAAACTATTTCAAAAATTTAAACTATACAAAATGATAAGTCTTCTTTACCTGTTACTATGTACTGCGAATCTGCACTAAATGCCGCATCCCAGACCCACCTCTGCCCCTCTTGCTTGAGCTCTGTTTGCAATGTAAAGTCACTTGTGCGCCATACTCTGGCAGACTGATCAGCAGATGTTGTCACCAGGAGCCTGATTAGAAAATAAACAGGGACTTGATGCCTTGTGGCAAACTTTCTCAACGGCAACTAAGAAAACCTGTCTTACGAAGAATCTGGACTGAAGGCACATTTAAGTGCGAACTTGGGATGAGCTTCTATCTTATGGCACGGGTTGAGTTTAGTTGGTTCTTGAGAACCACCACCACTAAGGCTCCATATGAAACATCGGCCTTTGTTATTAACAGCTGCCATGAGGTTCCCTAGGGGGTCCATAGCAATACTTTGAATTGAAGCATCTGCTTCAGGAATCTGTAAGTATGCATTAATATTTAAGATGAACAATTGCTGCTAAGGAAATGGAATGTTGAGCAATAAGCCAGTCCCTACCAACTGTTCATTGTGGTCTGTCTTCAGATCCCAGAGATGGATAACTCCACTTTGATCACCAACAACAAGTTCTGATTGATTAGGATGCAGACAGACACAGTTGACTGGGGCAGATACTTGAAATATTCTCTGGCACTGGAGTGTTCGAGACCTACACAGGAAAGAAGAGTACCACGATAGTCCCCCTAACACTTACACATGATGATGATGTGCATAACTGCACCATGATATTTGAAACAATCACCTTAAGTCCCATATACGGGCACTGAGGTCTTCTCCTCCAGTGTACATCCATTTACCCTCTTCTTGAAATCCAACACTAGTAACATTTTTGGAGAGCCCTTCATAGTTGACAACTGGACTTGGATTGTTAGAGGCCAGATCATACATTCGAATACGTGTATATCCTGTAATATAAGAATAGAAACATAGTCCTGGGACAAGGAAATAATCTCAGTCTAACAATGCAAAAAATTACCTGCTGCTGCGATATGTTGCTTGTCTGGAGTTATATCAAGAGCATTCACTTGCTGAACTCAAAAGTTAAGGGAGATAACAAATATTTTACTTTTCTTGTCAACTATAGAGTAGAGGAGGTGCAAGGGCATTTGTTGCAGTACAAAACAATATAAAGGATACAGATTCCGTGTGCTGTGCTGTTCGTTGACATATTCCAGTGTGGGCTTGCCACAATTTAATTGTGTGGTCATATCCCCCAGTCGCTAAAATAACCTGTTCACTAGGCGATGTGTCAGAAGTCATAGTAATGGTCATCTGAAAAAAAAAAAAAAAATAGGCACGAAAGCTTGTTAGTTATTTTCAAGGAAAGAACCACTTGAATTTATTGTCAAGAAAGATAAAACGCCATGCCAAATATAGACACCTATCAAAGAAAAACTAACCTGAAGCCCGAACAAAAATAAACAGTGTTGATAAATAAAATCAGCTTTCCAAAACAAAGATAAGTAAAAACAGGAAAGAACCGTCGATAAAACACTGAATGCGTATTATTATGACTGTAATTTTTCAGTCCGTGTAACTCTTTAACGAGCTGTTTACTTCTAATCAGCTGTTTCTTATCACAAATAAAGCCAGCCAGGTTATGATTTCCCCCGGCTCTTCCCCTCCCCTCCCCTCTATACCCGCCCACCCCGCCACTCCACCGCACTTAACTTTTTATATCTCAAGAGGTAACATGAACGAAGAGGCATCCCAATTATTAATAAGCAATATTGAAAGGAAGCATGAATAAAGAAAGTTGATACGGTAGTTCTTAGCGTCTCAAAGCTAAAATGGAAACTCAGAAATTTTGTACTTTTTTAACATTGGCAGCCCTGCGGCACACTTGAGCGCGCTACGTTCAAATGTGTCCGCGCTCCGTCCACTTGATTGGGTGATTGTGGCGGATATGTTTTTCTGGCAATGTAGAAAACTTCTCAGACAAGATTGATACTGACACGAAATTTATTACGGAAGAAAGATTATATGTCACAAATAACATTAAGAGGCACAAATATGTTCCTCAATTAAGTGAAGCAGTTGGTGCCAAGTTTCTTTCCTTAAAGAAAGGATGTTGAGTCCTGCTTTTCTTTGTCTTGGAAGAACCAAAAAACGATGTGATTGATGGAGTACCAGGTGATGCTTCTTCATCTTCTTCCTCCCTGTCACAAAATTAGCGGAACCCATTAAAATTATTTGAAGACAAAAACCCTCATAACAAAAAAAAAATGGCACTTACCATTCCACAGTTGTGGCTGAACTTTCTAAAATTTTATCTGCTGTCGACCAACTCATCCTCACCATATGAGGGAATCCAAAAATAGGATCAATATTTTGCTGAAGGAATTTCTTTGTCACTGGATCTAGTGAAAATAAAAAATTATAAAAAGGGCATTATTTGAACAATATAAAAACAATAATGTCAAAGCAGACATACCATTTGGATATCCACTGCCCCATCCTTCAGCAGGCTTGTCAATGCCATCTTCAAATTTCCAGACCTGCAATGCTCTATCTCGAGACACTTTAGCACATATACTAGCAGCACTAACGCAGGGATAGGTAGCGTCCGCTTTGCTAGCAACAGTAATTTTGAAGTCTGGAAATATCTTAGACAACTTTTCCTGAAAATTTCAAAAGGAATGATACTGTGTTTGTTCAGCACAGAAAATTACATTACTAATAATAGTTTGTTAAGCAAACAAGTGCGTCACCTGATATTTGTCTGCTGGACCCACAGTGTCCACATACACCTCAGAAATGTTCACACCAGCTTCGACAGCTTTTTTGATGAGGCCTATCGCTGAGTCATGTGATACCTGGTTGAGCGAGTACTTTTGCCTACAGAAACATGAGATACAAAACAGAAACATCTGAGTATATGAGGTTTGATATTTAAGGAAATACCAGAGTCAAAGCTGCAAGAGAAAAATACCAGTACCTTCGTAACATACTATTACAAATGCTATTGGGAGCAATAACTTCCACAGACCAACCGACATAATCTTTCCCTTCACATAATTTTCCAAAAAGTTCTTCCCGTTTCTCTTCTGTTAAAACCTTGGAGTCGGCACAGCCCAATTTCTTAAGGGCGTCTGACTTATCAAGAGGGCAGTACGCCACACCATACACCATAGGACCTGAAAAATTAAGAGAGCACATTCAGACACATCGATCCATTTTTCATTCAAAAGAGACGTTCTTTCAGGCTAAATATTGACTAACCTAGAACAGGACCTCGGCCGGCTTCGTCGACACCCAAACAACATTTCTCAGTTTTACAAATTTCGGGAACAACAGAAGATAACACAACATTTTCGGAGTTATCTTTTTCAGAAAAGTACTGTGCTAAATGCTCAGCACAACTGACACTAGAATCCTCCATTGTAGGTTTAAAAAAATATCTAATTTTGATAACACAAACAAGGTTTGACCAATCGCTGTCTCCCGCGTTTTCTTTGAGTTGAACTCCGTACTGCGAATAGCAGAAGAAGAGACGGATTATTGGCACTTTTCTATCGTACGAACAGGAACCTTACGAATAGTCAAGTTTTGTTGATCTGGATCTGTCAAAACTTACCAAGACTGCTATTTTGAATAAAACGTTTATGGGTTTGTAAGCTGTCATTTGACCTTTTAAAAGGAAGGTTTTCAAAGTATTGACAACAATGGAACTCCAAGACATTCACTACAACAAAGCTGAATATGTTGAAACGGTGAGGTTACATTCACTACCTTCAATGTTTCTAAAATAATTTTTAGAGCTCTGTTGTTTGAGATCATTATGTATACAGTTCTCTTGCATCCTTCTGCTGAGTTTCTATCAATTGGAATCGACATCACACTATATTCTTCAAATTAATCTAAAGCTGATTTTTGGCTTGCAGGCATCCGGCAACAAAGTCAGTCGTCAGACCGTTCTTTGTGGTTCCCAAAACATTGTGCTTCATGGGAAGGTTATAGTTCAATCAGATGCCATTATCCGCGGTGATCTGGCCAATGTACGAACTGGAAGGTACTGCATTATTAGTAAGAGAGCTGTACTGAGACCGCCGTTTAAAAAGTTCAGCAAAGGGTAAGGTTACTTGTTAATGTTTCTTTCAAATTATTTCGTACATCTAATAATTTGTTTCTGTTTCTTCCCTTAAAGTGTTGCTTTCTTCCCCTTATTCATGGGAGATCACGTTTTTGTTGGTGAAAATTCTGTTGTTAGTGCAGCCATGGTGGGATCTTATGTCTACATAGGAAACAATGTTGTTATTGTAAGTGATAAATTTATTTCTTATTTCCCTTTCTGATTCTTTTTTCACTTAATCCTTTCTTCTTTTTCTAAAGGGACGGCGCTGTGTGCTCAAAGATTGCTGTTACATCGAAGATAACTCTGTACTTCCCCCAGAAACAGTTGTACCCTCTTTTGCACGGTATGCTGGATCACCTGGTGTTTGTGTGGGAGAGATGCCTGAATGCACTCAGGAATTGATGGTAGATTTAACAAGGAACTATTATGAGCATTTTGTTCCAGCTCCTCAATAATGAATTTGCTATTGTTTTGTACTCCCTTCCTTGTTTTGTTATGTTGTTGGTGATCTTCTTGTGAGTCACTCAGCAAGCTTCATTGTGAAATAACTTTTATGTCTTGTGTTAAATTATAAATAAAATACTGAACTTTAACTATGTACATTTATTTTACTTGAGAAAAGCTCTGGTTGTGCCACATTTAAATAGCATTAGAATTTGTTACTTCCCAACAGTAAGGACCAATAAAATGTAACAAAAAAGAATATTACTACCATAGTTACACATATTTTCCAAAATATTCTTTTTCAGTAGGTCCGGCCCAATTTTGAGTACCGACCATTCTATTCATAAGTAAATATTTGTATGTAATTGGATTGATGTTTCTCTTTTCTTCTAGTTCTTCAAGCTTCTTCTTGGCTAATATTGTTTTCATGTCTACAGCCTCTGCTTTGAAAGGTAACAATCTAGCTATTTGCTCCAGCCAGGGTTTCACCTTAAAATGTTGAAATGGAAGTTAAAAATTTAAATGTAACAGTTGCATATTCTCACAAAGAAATACCTTACCTCTTCATAACTACACTTCCCTCCGACTTCAATGATGATTCGCCCTTCCTTAATGGGTGTGACATAATGATCAATGGGTCCTTTACCTCCTCCATGACGCTTGCCAATACCCTAGGAACAACCAGTTGAAATCAATGAGTCATTGAATGAAGCATTCTAGACTTACTACCAAGGAAAACATACCATTTTGGAAATAGGTTGCCATGGATCATCTATTCTCCAAATGGCAAACATTCTTGAGGCATCAAGCTTTCGGCCTACAGTTAGTCGGATCATTTCCATGTGACCATACCTCAATCTTCCACCACACAAAGCCTGGAAGTTGAAAATGTTGATTCATTCAGTCATTCATTTTCTCACCAGTACAGAGATAGAAGCCATACTACGTACCCTGATACCATACTGCTCATGTAGTAAAGCATTGTGTACTGGCTCTGGACCTCTTATGAGATGGAGACTTTTCTTCATCTTGCGGTGCTTTTGGTTGGGAAGAGCGTGTGGCACTTTCATCATAACTCGGAGCTTAGGTTTTTCAGGTAGATTAATATCTGAACATCAAATAAGTAATTATAAGAGACCAGACTTTATTTTTTCTGAAAAGTAAAACTAAAGACTTTACTTGAAAAATTTAATCTCTTTGGCTTACCAGAATAATCCTCGGGTTCCTGCAGATAATTCTTTTTCTGAAGTGTTGTGCTTGTCGACAACGCATTCCGCCCTGAAAAGAAAGCAATTGCGAACATTTCGATTAAACAATCTAGAATGGGAACATCCAGCTCGACCTTATGCTTTGAGAGAATCGTTTAAAGTGCCCAAGGTTTTGAATTAGCAGACAGTTTGAAAAATATTCACTAGCAGACAGTTTACATAGGTTTTTGGTTACTTATTATCGCCGTAAACAGGAAACTTACCATTCCTTATCAAAGGCCCTTGAATTTGAAGCGTTTGGAAAACGCCCCGGAGTAATGATAACATTTTTGTAGTTTTTGTGTTTCAAATAAACCAATTGTAATTTAGGTTAAGTGTCCAACCAAAACATGCGGAGGTGGTGGGAGGGGGATGAAGGATATCGACAGGAGCACCATCCGAGGCGTAAAAATGGATTAATCCAGAAGTGTTCAGGATTCATGATTAAGGTATCAACTTTAACCAATTTAAATTAAAAAATTTTTAAAACTTTTTAGTTCAAAAGAGAATGGGTAGCGTGTAAGTTTAGTTTTCCCTACTTTGTCGTTGTGCTGGCACCAGTGACATTTTCCTGCTTTTTCTTCTTGCACCCTTTCCTCTTTGAAATCGTTCCATGTCCCAACCGGTTCCTGTTTCCGTTTCTTTCAGACAGTAGCCTCATCAAGGTGAGTGTCGCTCGCGTTTAAATCTAAGAACATCTGTATATTCTAGCTAAATTTACGAGCGAACTCCCTTTATATATTTCTAATGTGTTTTTTTTTAAGTCTTTTTAAGTGTTTCTGAAACTCGTTTTTGTTTGTTTCCGTTCATTTTAGGTCAAGATGGGGCGGCGTCCGGCACGATGGTTAGTACCGACTCATGCTTCTTTCCTCCTCTCATTTGATACTTTCTCGTACGCCTTTCGAAGTATTATTTAGTGCTGTGTCTTATTTCCATTACGCGGATCTCAATGTAGTTTCAATTACTCCCTGTATCGCTATAGTTGAGTCGTCAAGAGTTTGCTTACGTCGTTGCGCCACTTCTTGTAACTTTTGTCAGTTCTCTTTTTGCGGCGTTTTGAAATGAGGCTTGTTAAATTGCTTCTGCCCACCCTAAATCTCGTTGTTGGCCGCCGTCTGCAACGCTATTTGTTGCAATTATTGTTTGCGGTATCACGCAGTTCATGCTGCATGTTCGTATAGGTTATGTTCCTTAGTGTACGTGTTGACTATCCATCGGGAGACCTGATAAACAGTCAACAGTTCTGCTTCTGTACGCTGACTTTGACTTGTCTCGCAAGTTTGTTAGGGTCCTGTGTTTGTGGTTCACTGTGTGGCACTAAATTGATTTTGTTTTGTTACAGCTACCGCTACTGCAAAAACAAGCCCTACCCGAAGTCCCGGTTCTGTCGTGGTGTCCCCGACCCTAAGATCCGTATCTTCGACTTGGGCAAGAAGAAGGCCTCAGTAGACGACTTCCCACTATGTGTGCACCTCGTCTCTGATGAGTATGAACAGCTCTCGTCTGAGGCTCTTGAGGCCGGACGTATCTGCTGCAATAAGTACTTGGTGAAGAACTGCGGCAAAGATCAGTTCCACATCAGGATGAGACTGCACCCCTTCCATGTCATCCGCATCAACAAAATGTTGTCCTGTGCTGGAGCTGATAGGTAAGTTCACATCATGTTGAAGAGTCTTGCTGTCAGAGTTATGCTGACTGATATTTTGCACTTCTGAAAATGAAACGTATGGTTTTTATTATTACATCTGTAGTGCAATTATCTATCTGGTTGAAGGCCCAAGCTTTTTACGAGCAAGTCTACACTATAGTTGATATGTTCTCTTTGAATTGTGTCTAATCAGCTGATTGTTTCAGGCTCCAGACTGGAATGCGTGGTGCCTTCGGCAAGCCTCTTGGTACTGTTGCCCGAGTTCGCATTGGACAGCCCATCATGAGTGTCAGATCTAGCGACCGTTTCAAGGCTGCAGTTATTGAATCCCTCAGGCGTGCCAAGTTCAAGTTCCCTGGTCGTCAGAAGGTAAATTATCTTGCCCATTCATTGATTTCCATGATGCCAATTGCATTGGGTTGAAATCTTACTGACTTCTTCCCACAGATCTACGTCTCCAAGAGGTGGGGATTCACCAAGTACGACCGTGAAGACTACGAAAGGCTGAAGGCTGTTGGTATCCTTGCCAATGATGGTGTCAACGTCAAGTACAGGCCTGAGCATGGACCTCTTGATGCGTGGAAGAAGGTTCAGCTCGAACTCGCCCGAGTTTAAGTATTCATCCTACTGCGCAATGTCATCTGTGCCTGGTGATTAATAAAGTCTTAACATCAATTTTCTCTCAATTGTTAGTCCTGTTCCTTGCATCCTGACATTTCTTTGTCACACCTTATGACTCAATCATCAGCTGACGTTTGGTTGTGGGAGTCCATAGTTATTGTTGGCTCTCATTTCTGGTTGGAATGTGGTGAATTAGAGCCCTATATAATGTAGGGATCTTTGGTGAATGATGGTTTCTGCACTTGTTGGTGCATAGGGTGCATGGACTGCTTTGTTTACAGCAGTCAGGTGACTGTCAATAGTTTGTTTGAAGTACCATAAACTTCATTAGTGTGATGAGTAGACAAAACACCTAACAGAATCGTCAAGTTTGTCAATTGATATTGGCGTTTGTCACAATTGACCTATTATGTTACGACGTGAGCACTAGTTGCCACTGACCAAATCCTGGGTCTCGCCCAGGCGGATCGTGGAGAATGATCCTATCCTCCGTAGTGCCATTTTTTATGGTTATTTTCCATGTCATAATCTCAGCATTTTAATGGGCTTTGTCATTTATCGTTGTCATGTGAATTAATTAGTCCTTGCACTTCTCCGCGTTACGTGATTTAGGGACGGGCCCGTCTCATCCCCTGGTATGAAAAATCGTGGTTGAAGCTGAAACACGATATGAATCTGGTTCCTAGCAGACGACTGTGTTGTGCAGCAGAAACCACAACAAAAAAGAAGCGCATCTGTGAGCAGTGCAACTTCTTCTGAAAACTCGTCGTCCCTGGCTTTGTGTTTGTTTTTGTGGTTAGCTCCACTGGGAGGAGTGTGGTTACGAAGGTCGACAGGCCTGACCCGCCGGCCCTCCGCTCTCCGCCTCGTCGTGATCTGAGGACGATTGCGGCCACCATGAGCTCAGTCGACTCCGTGGCTTACTTCATGAACGAGCTGAACAGGGAGACTGGAATGTACGAAGAAATCTTGACCGTGCTGGGCCTGTGCTACCTGGGGAAACTGACAGTTTCTCTAACATGGTCTGCTGTGCAAGGCTTTAGAGCTCACATTTTATCCAGAATTCTTCCGTCGCCAAGTATAACAGACACTTATGGAAGATGGGCTGGTACGAGTTCCTTTTTAGTTAAGAGACCAAGTGTCTTGTAAGCCATGATTTCTTATAAGTTTATGGCTGTTTGTATGCTATCCTTTTACAGTTATCACTGGCTGTACTGCTGGTGTTGGACGTGCATACACTGTGGAACTTGCTCGCCGAGGAGTTAACGTAGTTCTCATCAGCCGAAATGTAGACAAATTGAATGAACTGGCAAGAGAAGTTGGTTGGTATACTTTCTATACATTTTTAAAACCAAATTGGCTTGTCAAAGCTTTAAACTGAGTTGGATGTACCTCCTATAATTTCCCCAGAAATGGACTACAGCGTAGAAACAAAAATTATTCAAGCGGATTTCACAGAAGGCAGACCTATTTATGAACAGATTGCCAAGGAACTGGATGCCTTGGATGTAGGAGTTTTATGTGAGTTACCACTTAATTTTATTTTAAAGTTGGTACTTGGAGCATCATTACAATTTTATTTATTTCTTGCAGTGAATAATGTTGGTGTGCTTCATGGTACTCCACTTTACCTCTCTGAAATGAGTGAAAGTGACGTTTGGGACATGATCAACGTCAACATTGGTGCCATGTCTATGATGACAAGAATTGTTTTGCCATCTATGTTGAGAAGGCAACGAGGAATCATTGTAAACCTTTCGTCTATTTCATCTGTACAGCCACTGCCTCTGATGGGGATCTATGCTGCATCAAAGGTTCAAGCCAATTTTTAAAAAAATGCCATTATTTTATTTATAGTAATAATATTATTGAACTCATCAATTTTAACTCCACACTTTGTTGTTGGGTTTGCAGGCATACATAGACTCCCTTTCTCTGGCTCTCAGTGAAGAATGTAGAGGATCTGGAGTTAAAGTACAGTCCTTAACTCCTTGGTACCTGAATACAGATATGTTGCACCTATCTCCAAGATCTAATCCTTATTTAGTGCCATCGCCAGAAATGTATGCTCACCATGCTATTTCCACTCTTGGTGTTGTTGACCATACAACTGGATACTGGATACATGGGCTCATGGCAAGTAGCTTTGATGAAGCAAAATAAAATCCACTTACATTTGGGTAATTTTCTAATGCAAATTTTGTTTTATTTTACAGAAGCCTTTCATGCGAATGTGTCCTACATGGATCTATGTCAGATTTGGTCACTTTTGGAACAAGAATGTGAGGGAGCAAATAATTAGCCGTGAACGCAGAAAAGTGACTCAAATTAGCAGAACTCGGTAGATTTTTGATCAGTTTTTGTGTCTACATTCCCTTCATCTACCGTAAAAAGCTTTTTAAAGCAGAGTTTTAATTTTGTTGTTCATCTACTTAATTTCATATCCTCCTTATCCATCACTCAAATGATGACACGTCAGATGTGTCAGGCTTGTCATTTTCTGTGATGTAAAAACAATCAAACTACTAACCAAATTCGCAAGATTGTATTTTCATTCATTCATTATCATTAGACTTTTTCATTGTGTTTTTTATACCTATAATTGAATAGTTAATTTATCCTTCTCTTTTTTTTGTATTTTAAAGAATGATAGTGATAAAAAAATTTATTCAAAGCCAAGTTCTAAAATCCTAAACCATACTCATATGTATGTGGCGCTTGTGGCTTATTTTGTTGTGCTCACGTAAACATTCTGATAGGGTGCACCACCTTTTAATAAATATTGTGCCATTAGATATTAGTGTAACTTTGAATGTACCATAATGTTTCCCAACATATTTCTGTGGATCCTGCAAAATTTAGAAAGTCATCAATACTTGCGCACTTTCCACATTTTGCGGCCGGCCGGTAGGAATGCCTGTTTATCTCAGCAATTATTTGTCTAGTCACCCACCCCTCTAATGATGGTGGGGGGAAAAAAGGGAAAATAGGAACTGGAGGCTAGTTGTAGAGTACCATAAATTACTTTGAAATAAAAACAACAAATGACGCTCAATCCAGTGTATCTGTTCTCTTGGCTTTAAAATTCCCTTCTTCAGAAAAACATGATTTCGCGGTTACCAACCGCTAGTTGAACCCCTAACTTGAAACGAGGGCAGTAGAATGCACCCTGATAAAAATGGGGTGACACTCTGGATGGGCGACTAGAGCTCTTTCCTAAGGTCACGTTCTAGTAGGAGGGGCGCCGGGTAGCTAGGCTACCCCTTGTACACGCGTGCACAGTGGTTGCCTAGCGGCCAGGCGTCGGCAAGACGTCGGCCATGTGCGTTGGGTTGCCAATTCTCCGGGCGGCGCAGCGACAGTGTACGAAACTGAGGCGGGAATCACGAATCGCAGCGACTTTGTTCATGCTGGACAGAGCCGGTTTTTTGAAAGTCCAGCCTTGAGTCTTGAGCCTTGAGTTAGCCTTCGCGGTGCTTCGAGGTCCCCTCCCCGGAGTCCTCAGGTCAGGGACGCGACTACCGATGCCGCGATGCCGCCCTCTCAAAGTCAGTGCCGTCCGACCGGTCGTTGGACGCATTTGGGTATTTGGCCGAGGCTGGTGCGGCCCAAAGCCAACAACAATAAAAACGCCTCGGCAATGAAGGTCGTCTAAATTTCCATGTATCTGCGTTGTTTTCGCGTTTATTTTGGAGCGCTCGGGCGGGCTGGTGTCTCGGCCCACTGACCCGGACGCTTAATACAAAGTCAGCGAGTACACGCACCTCTTCCCCTTCGCGCCGCTTCACGCCTTGTCCTTCTGGGCCTTGGCGATGAAGTCCCGGATGTCGCGGTGCGCCAGGTTGGTGAAGACTCCCGGGAGCCCATCTGCGCGCAGCCCATGCCCCACGAGATGATGCCCATCTGCTGGCCGGTCTTGTCGTTGAAGACGGGGCCGCCAGAGTCGCCCTGCAATCCGAGCACAGAGGTCAACATGACCAGTTGTCGTTGTTTTCAACGACGCGCCCGCTGGTCCACTCACCTGGCAGGAGTCCTTTTCCGCGCGCATGCCGCAGAGCATCCTGTCGGTGACGGTGAGGTCGAAGCCGGAATAGTCGTCCTCGCACTCGGTCTGGTCAATGGTCTCGATTTTGACTTCGCGCAGCGCGGAGGGCAGCGGTTCGGAGTGGAGGGCCTGGGTGCATCCCAACACTCTCAGCCAAGGCCCAAACCGATGTTTGCCCGCGGCAGAAATTAGTTTGAAGACCCCTTCCTCTCACTTACGTCGGTGTAACCCCAGCCGATGAGCGTGATTTCCGTGTTGGCGACCACCTTCTGGCCGACCGGCACCAGGGTGACGGCTTTCACCGCTTGGCCGAGCACCAAGTCCTTGCTGACCCTGAGGACGGCGACGTCGTAGTCGTACGCCGCGGCCTTGTTGTACTGGCTGGGGACGTAGATCTTGGTCACGTCCACCAGCTGGCCGCCCGACGCCCATTGGCTGGAGCCCACCCTCACGCGGTAGGTCACCTTGCGGTCCCTGTGCATCAGATGCCCCTTGTCACTCACACTCACCCACACCACCACGCCAACGCGCGTGCCCCCGCACTTACTTGAAGCAATGGGCAGCGGATAGAATGTGACGCTTGTCCAAGATGGTGCCGCCGCACTGGGGCGTGAACGTGTTGCCTTTCGCGATGCCTACATTGGCCTGGTTCATTCGAAATTGTTAGAAAACAAATCAGTGACACCCATGAACCCCCTCCCCCTAAAAAGAGCCGGGACTTGCCATGAAAGCACGTTTCACTATGGAGGTAGACAAACCTCCGACGATCTTCATGGAGCCAAGTCCTGCAGCCACGGCGGCGGCACTTTTGTGACCCCGCTTGTGGCCCCTCAGGTTTAAAACGGCATGCTCTGGAAAGAAAATAAATACCCCCCTCGATCATTTTTCATCCCGCGGGCCTCGCTTGTGTCTTGCCCGCGAAACTATCGTTCGCTGTAGGAGGCAAATCCCCGAAAGCAAAACCCTTTGTCACAAAATATGGACACTGGGTCGCTCTCTGTGGCGCCTGTACCAGCGACGATGACCTGGGCGGCCCACGCCAGGGCCACGAAGACGCAGTACTTGAAGAGCATGGCCGCGCCGCGTCTTTGGTTACAGTGCCACGGCGGCGCACTCTATGTGCACGGGGCTGGGCCCCACGCTTATATTGCGCGCTCATTGTAGGTGCACTGTAGGGGCTCGGTGGGTGCACGGCGACGACGAAAAATCGTCAAAAACGTGACGGTGGGTCGGCCCGCCGCGGCTCGCCGTGACTCGGGAGTGGCCGGGGCATTAATCACGTGCACGAAGCCGCGATGCTCAGGGCATTCAATTTCCATGTATCCTATCGCGGTTCTGGGGAAGCACACAAAATGGCAAACCGACAACGCAAACTCTATGCGGGGATGACGGACAGGGCTCGCGGCGGGTGGCGGGTTCAGGATTTCCAGGAAGAGGGAAGGACGGGCTGGAGGGGGAGGGGAGGCAGGCTGGACTGGAAGAGGTGCCGGGGCACGGGGCGGCGGCGGCGGGCAGGGCAGGGTCGCGCGCGGACGGCCAATCGGACGCGCGGAGGAGCAGACTTGGCGAATCAAAGACAAACTCATCACAGTCGCAGTCCAGCAGTCCGGCAGTCCAGCAGTGGAGCGCGAGGGGACGCCGCGAAGCAGCACAGCCACACAGCCACACTGCCACACTGCCACAGGGCCAACATGGACACGCACAGGGAAGTGCTGGCCGGCTTGCTGCTGGTGCTGGCCATGACGGCCATCCTCAACGTCCCCGCCAGCGCCATCAAGTTGCGTGAGTACCGAAAAACGCGCAGTAAATCCTCATTTGAATCGCCTCACTCCAGGGAGACGAAAAGCTTCCTGGGCGACGAGAAAAATGAGGAAGACTTTGGAGGGGTGGGAAAACAGTGGTGGAGCGCTGCGCGGCGCTGCGTCTCGGGGATGAGGGTTCACAGCAACAGCAGTTCACAGTGGGCAGGCAAAACACCTGTCCGGCCCGGCCCCCTGTTGGTGCGCTCGCGACGGAACCGCGCTGGCTTGCCGATCGCCGACGGCTTGTGACGCTGTGGCTGTGGTGGCCCCAGGGGCTTTGTGTGGTGGCGGAGATGTCTTTTGAGCTCACGGTAGCCAGCCAGGTGCTGCCATCGCATCAGAGCGACGCTATTTCGCGGTCGAGGCCCAGTCCAATCCACCTGCGGTTGCGTCACTTTCACTCCCCCTGACCTACGCCATGGCGTAGGCCAGGGTAGATCACCCTGCCTACCCTGGCCGCCGGGCCCCGCCGGGCCACGCCGGGCGCCCGTGCAGTAGTTGTCACTCGTTTTCATTGATCTTGCCAATGCTGCCCATAGCTGGAGGCGCGCCAAGCCTGGGCTGCCTGGGCAAGCCTCGCCAAGCCGGGGACTTCCCTATCCTCCAAGTGGGACAATGTCGCGCTCTTCGAACAGTGTCAATGTCGGGCCGACGACGGCAACGGAGTGGCAAAGGCAGTGCAGGGGCATCGCTAACGAACAGAGCTGCCCCATACAATCAACGGCCCAGCTTCATCTTTCCTCCACTTTTTTCGGTCTTCTTTTTTCACGTTTGAATATTTTTTGAAGTTACGAGCAGACCCCTGATTTGGTCAAAAAATAATTGTTTCCTCCGGAGCCAGAACAAGCCAGCGTGTGAACAGTGGTTGCGATTGCGAGGATGTCCCAACCAGTTATCTAATTAGGCGAACCGCACACGCCACTCGCGGTGCCGAGTGGGCTCACCAAGTTTGGGACGCACGCACACACGAACCGCTCACACACACGCACCCGTATTCACACGCGCTCGCGCGGCGTCGAACGTAAGCGCCGCACTCCAAAGACACGCGACAAGTATTTTCGGGCGAAAAAATGATAATAAAAGGACCACGTCTCGTGAGTCCTCACGTGAAACCAGCCGCCGCAGCTCAGAGAGTTGGACTGTAAAGCTTGTTTCTCTGTTGGCATGCTCCAGCGCCGTACGTGACCGCGTGCTCCCGCTCCGACCCCAAGCTCAACGAGTGCGTGCTGCAGAACGGCAGGAACGCCATCCCCATCGTCATCAAGGGCGACCCCAAGTACCGCGTGCCCAAGCTCAACCCCATGGTCATCCCCGAGCTGCAGCTGCAGCAGGGCACCGGCTCCGTGGGGCTCAACATCACCTGGAAGAACGCGGAGATCCATGGCATCAAGGACACCGAATTCCTGGACGTCGAGTAAGCCAATCACATCGCAGCCCCGCCCAGCGCAGCGCAACGCGGAAGCAAATCGCCTTTGTTTTTACGAGTCAAGCGTTTACTTCTCTTTTTCCTGCTTTTAGCATGAACGTCGAGAAGAGGCACATCAAAATGCACTTCTTCCTCCCGAAAGTAAGCATCACCGGTGCGTACACGGCGACGGGACGAGTACTTCTGCTGCCCGTGACGGGCTCTGGTCCTTCCAACATCACAGTTGGTGAGTACAGAGTACCTGGCTGCCTGCAGCTTATTCACGTAGGCACCTCAGGGAATGACCTCATTCTGTTTCAGAAAACATGAAGATTTCATATGATATCGATTGGAATTTGGTCAAGAAGGCGAATGGCAAAGAGTACCTGGACGTGACCAACCCAATGCTGACCCTCCTGGACCTCGGCCATCTTAGTATGAAATTCGAACGCATTTTCAACGGTGACAAGCTCTTAGGTGAGATTTCTCATGCAACATTCTGTTCTTGAGACATTCTAAAATATCTTTTAGAAGGGGAAAAAAATCTAACAAATGTGCCTTGCCAAAAAAATTTCAGGTGATAACTTGAACACGTTCCTCAACGAGAACTGGAAGGATCTGGCGAAAGAGTTCGGACCCGGAGTTGCTGACGCGATTGGACAAGTATTCGGTTTAGTCCTGAAAAACATATGTGACCTCGTGCCGTATGATAATGTGCTCAAGCCTTAAGCTATCCTTCAGAACACCGCATTTCATTCTGTTAAAATTATGAGTATCAAAGCTGTGTACATTGTTACCTTTCACCCACAAAAATCAATAAAATGAACCTTGTTTAAATTGACCTATCGACTTGACAGCCATTTCTGTCACCTGCAATCTGCAATGCAAACAAGAAATGGGACCGTGGACGACGGGCAGCGTGGGGGAAGGCCTGGGGGAAGGCCATCACCTGACCGGCGGTGCTTTGGGGTTTGAATCATCTTGGCGCAGCAGTCCCTGCCTATCATGTTCATGTTTCTGAAAAGGGGGAGGGGGAACAGCCGCTGTATTGTCGTTCCCTTCTTCCTTCCCTTCTCACTCAGCTCAGCCCCGTGCGGCTTGTCGGCTCCACCCGACTGACGCGGAGGCCGGATGGGTTGCCTATCCACCAGGCGCCTCGCCCGCCCCGCGCGCCGTCCGTCAGGTGGTGCGTGCAGCCCGCTCGGGAACGGGCCCTGCCGGCCCTGCCAGCCCTGCCAGGTAAGCCGCGCCTAGCTTTGCGCCCGGCCTGGCACTCCGGCACATTGTTCCCGCCGTGATAAATCAGCTGTCACCCAGGGCCGAAGGGGGCCGAATGACAACCTGACGACGGAGATGAAGGCAGCAGCGCGCGTATACATTTTGAGCAGGTTTACGCGTCGAGCCGAGAGCAACTTGTTCACTCCCTTCCACAGGCGCGGCAAGGTGAAGGGGAGCAGAGAACGGGGAGGTGCGGAACAACACTGACAGCACACTGCAAGCACCGAGAGTCCTTGGCGGCGGTCGAGAAATCCATGCGCACGTGCCTACCGTCGCTTTTGCCAAGGGCCTACCGGCCTACCTACGCCTCGGCTGTCACCGAGGAAAACAAAGCGAGGGCTGGATCGGATGCGGGTGGGGGAGAGGGAGAGAGAGGAGAGGGGCTCCTCAAGGGTTCCCGAGGGTTTCCCTCTGGCGGGCCGGCCGGCATAAGCATTCTGTCGGAGTCCGGAGTCGGCCCGCGGAATGGCTCGCGTGGCGTTGATCCTGTGGGCCTTTCTGAAAACGCGAGAGGGAGGGGGAGGTTAAAGCGTGGGCCAAAATCCCCGGCGTTGCTTAAGAACGGTCCCCGTTTGGCCGGTCGGGCCGCGCCGTCGCGGAGTCAACGCTCGGCCGCCCTGGTCGCCCGGCTCCGAGCCGTGCTGCCGTGCTGCTGGCGGGCCTCCGCCTGTGCCTTGCTGTGCCTGGCCTGCTGCAGCAGTGCGCAGTGGCCGCCTCCCCGCCGAACGCCGCGCGCCTCGCCTTGCGAGCCCTGCTTGTGGTGCCGGTGCCCCCCGATACGCAGAAGGAGAAGGAGCAGCCCTTCTTCGTCTTGCCAGTGTTCCAGCTGGCATCGGCGAGGGCGGCGCGTGGCGGCGAGGCGAGGCGCGGCGCGGCGCGGATCACAGCCGGCGAGTCGGCGGATCGGGTGGCACGATCGGCAAGTGGAGAGGAGAGGAGTCAGTGACCAGTGACTGCCGGCGAGGGCGAGCATCGGCCGCAGCATGTGGGCGACGGCGTGCAGGCTGAGGGGCTTGACGGCGACCGCGGCGCGTGCCGCCCGGCCCGCCAGGCAGGTGCAGACCGACGCCCAGAACGCCCCGCGGCCCCGCGGACGCCCCCTTGACGAGATGCCCCAGCCGCGGGGGCCCCGCACCATGGGCATGCCACTGCCGCTGTTCGAGGGGGGCCACAGCAAACTGCACCTGTACGTCGACGAGCAGCACCGGGACCTGGGCGACGTGTTCCAGGACCAAATCGCCCCCGACTCCGAAAGCATCGTCTTCGTGGCCGACCCTGTCGAGATGCGGCGCACCTTCGGCCTGGAAGGGAAGTACCCGCTGCACCTGGTGCCCGAGTCCTGGACGGTGTACAACAAGGCCTACGGCTGCCAGAGGGGACTCTTTTTCATGTGAGTGTCACTCTTTGACCACCAAACCCTAAGGAAAACCGACTTATTCTGAACTTGATTTTCTGCCCAGTGCTGCTAACTGCATTTCCTCTGATTGTTGCAGGGATGGTGAAGAATGGCTTAACATGAGACGTGTCATGAATAGACTCATGTTAAAACCTGAGGCAAATATTTTTTCAGCACCATGTCAGCACGTTGCTAATGCTCTAGTCTCTCAATGGCAGCATGAAAATACAACAGAAATTCAAAATCTTGAAGAACAGCTGTATAAGTGGTCATTAGATAGTAAGTCATGCTGCTGATGCAACTCAATTGGTTTTACAAAACAATTGCTTTAATTAAATTTTCCTTGGCTCATTTTAGCTGTTGTTGCTGTCATGATTGGAACAAACTATGAAGCCCATGCAGGCAAATGGAATGGTATTATAAGCCAGCTAGCATCTGACATACACTCAATATTTTTAGAGAGTGCAGAAATGTCTTCTATGTCTGCAAAAGTTGCCAGAGATGAAGACAAGCCTGTTTGGAGGCGTTTCAAGAAATCGGTTGATGTCAGTTTATCTACAGGTAATGGCACACCAATGTACTTTATTTCTTATCAAATATCAAAAATATCTATTTTATGTATCTGTTTCATGGCAGCTCGTTCTCTTTTGAGAGAGATGATTTCTGTCTGCTCTGCTTCACCCAGTGGGTTGCTCTCAGATATGCAGGATGCTGAATTGTCTGAAGAAGAAATAATGAAAGTAGTCGTAGACTTGATACTGGCAGCTGGGGATACAGTGAGTCAAGAGCCATTATTATGTAATTTAATTTCCCTGCCACTTCCTTAAATAAATTAAAATTTTATTTCTAGACAGCAATGTCCTTGCAATGGACTTTATTCCTTCTAGCAAAAAATCCAGATGTTCAGGAGAGTATTAGTGCTAAAATTCGCAACAAGACTGATACTCTGCATCCTGCACTGCTTCGAGGAGTAGTTCGAGAGGCATTGCGCCTTTACCCTGTGGCACCCTTCCTCATTCGAATAGTGCCAGAACAATGTGTTATTGGAGGATATGAGCTTCCTCCGAATGTAGGTGACTGATCTGTTGAATCAGTGGTTTTAGTATGAAAACAATATCCATTGTTCACAACTTCTTTTCAGAAACTCGTTTTCCTATCACTTTATACAAGTGGGAGGGATCCGAAAAACTTCCCTGAGCCAGAAAAATTCTGGCCAGAGCGCTGGCTGCGTGAAATTTCTAATGACAACGAAAATTCAAGTGGGGCATACATAGCAGTCAAGAATTCATATGCTTCAATGCCTTTCGCAATGGGTGCTCGGTCATGTATTGGAAGAAAGTTAGCGGAGACACAAATGATAACAACTTTAGCCAGTGTAAGTTTATGACATTGTTCACCTTTGCATGCTTTTTGCTTTGTGTGGCAGCAATTTTAAAAATTACTTTTGCCTTGACAGATATTGAAACAATTCAAACTAGAACTTCTGAATGCAAATGACATAGAAATGGTGATGAGAATGGTTGCCGTTCCTTCAGAGCCAATCCGATTACGTCTAAAACATCACCAGTGATGAAGAACAGTTCGAAAGAAGTTCAGCCTTTTACCTGAAGTTTTAGAATAATTTTAATGTTTGCGCCATAATTGTGAGTTTTTTAAAAATGCCGCGTTTTTAATTAATAGTTCTAATTTTTTACAAAAATAAATAGGGAATGCATGTAAATTGGTGTTTATTAGGTCCCTTTACCTCCCTCCTCCCTCACCCCCTACCCCTACCCCCACCCTCATCCTTAAGTTGAGTTTTTCATAGTATCGCGGGAGGGGGGCGAAGGGAGAGGAGGAGGTTGTCTCGTTTCTCGTCGTCTGCTTCTCCTAGTGTCGCGGTTTTGAAGTTGTTCGGCAAAGAGCTGCAGGGGCACAAGAAGAGAGAAAATGGAAATTTGGACACGTTTGAAAGCATGGGTCCCCACAGTACTCGCTGCGCAACCTGACACCAATGCGGTGGCCGATCTGCACCAAAATCAGCCACAAGGCGATGCAGCTGTAGAGGTTAATGGGGATGGCGAAGTGAAAGAGACTGAGAAGAGGAAGGTTGACCTAAGTATCAGACCAGAAAATTTCACCGACATTCTAGTTGATCGAGAGGGTAGTTACGAATATTTTCCGGAAAGGAAAGAACGATACAAGGCTCCAGTGTGGAAGCGCTTCACTATGACGGGTGGTCTGGAAGGGTTTACGAGAGCTTCCTGCGAGAAAAAGCTGTACAAATTAATGAAGGAGGGTAGGTGTTTTTGTCTGCACTCCATTGAACTGTGTCCGATGCATTCTTTCAGCCCTGATAAGTTTACATTTATTGTGATTTTTTACTATTTGATTCTCAAACCATTTCAGAGCCCCTGATCAAGCTGTTGATTGGAGCTTTAGAAACATCGGGATGGTAAGAATGTTTTATCAACTCTGACTGGCTGCAGTTGGATTGGCAAGGTTTCAGATAATTTGCCTAGAATTCCTCTTCAAGCTTTATTAATGACTGTCCATTTTTTCAGCCCTATTAATATACGAAGGAACTTCTCCTGCGAGGTGTGTTACACCGGGGTTTGCGGAGGGTACGACACAGAAACACAACAAATAGTAATGTGCATGAACAATGTTAAAGACGAAGGCAGGATGGCCACAATTTTGGCCCATGAGCTGATTCACATGTTTGATCACTGTGTCAATGAAACTAACTTTAAATCAGCAGAACACCTGGCTTGCACAGAAATTCGAGCCATCAACTTAACAAGTTGTAGCCTGATTGATTCCTTCTTTGGAGGATATGTTAGCACGATGGATTTGATAAGTAAGGGTTATGGAAAGAAGCATGCCATTTGTGTCAAAGATAGAGCACTGAATTCTGTACTGGCTGCCTCCTCCAACCTCAGTGAGGAGGATGCTCGTAGAGTCATTGATAAAGTGTTTCCCCACTGCTATAATGATCTTGAACCAATTGGTAGGAGACTGAGACATAAAACAACTGATAATGAAAGAGCTTATAAGGATGGGAAACATTATGGATATGTATAACCACTAGGTATAGAAAAATGAATAAAATTGATTGTGAAACTTATTTAATTCATATAAAAAGAATAATATTCATTGACTAGCATTAAGAAGCCATACATGAGCTCTTTGTTCAAACAAGGATTAGTTAAAAATACATTACAAGAAAGTGGGTTGAAAGTTCATGAATAACTTCTTAATGAGCAAAAGAGGCAAGCACACGCTAGACAATTCCACAAAATGGACAACAGGTACAAGCATGGGAACAATGAAAGTTAAATTCTTTCTGTCTACAAATATAAGGTACATCTACTCAATTTATATTATCACAAAAATTAAAATAACAAACATAATTGGTCCACATCACACAGGTTTCACAACTGTGTGATCAAAATAACATGAAGAAGCATAGTGTCCATATGGTACATGTAATATCTACTTGTAAAATTAATAATAGGAAAACAATTTACCATTATGGCAATAACATTTATACAGTACAGGGTAAGAAAATATGTAAACAGATCCAAAGTAGAAAAATACAAAAATTTTTTTTAAAAAAAGTCTTCCAAATTATTTTTGAAAAGTGCAAATGCACTACTCACCTTACACAACTTCATTTGTTATAGCTGCCTTCAACATTGAGCAGCATGACCTGAAAAACAGATTGCAAATAAACAAGTTGCTATTCTGGCAGACACAGATGGGAAGTATCATGCTGCTTCTCTACAGCTGCCTTCAAACTTACGTCTCCTCTGATTATTTCTGTTCCGCAGAATTCGTCTGGACCTAAGCATGATTCTTTCCTGCTCCTCCTCATCACTACTAATAATTTCCAGTTCATACTCAACTGCTTCAGACAAGGCATTTTCCTCAACTTTCTTTTTCATTTCTGAAAATGTATGTAAAAGTCAAAGCTTGTAGAAGAACAAAATTAATTACAGCAGTAGCATTCTTGGCTAATTTGACTGTACCTGTGGCTTGTTGCCACCAGAAAGTCTTGCCCCACATGGCCCGGAGCCCAGGAATATTAGAGAGCTGAGGCATGGCTGATATGGATTGCAGGCATGATAGTTCAAGCGAGGCTGGCCAGGACATGGTGGTCACTAATCTCATTGAAGAATTGCCTATTGTTGAGCTGATCATTGGGTACAACACTTGGTTCTTCATTAATTTAAATGCAACTCCTGAAAGGAAGGAATAAGGAAAGCTTATGAGCAAATTGGGTTCAAGAGTAGTTAAACCAAAAAATGTAACTTATTTAAAGGGATGACTCCAGCTGTACCAAGGCGACGTCGGTTTAAGTAGAACTCCAAAGTTCCAGTCCACATGTTCAAGTGTACGCCCACAATGCTGCCTTTTCCGAATTGAGGCCCGTATGAAGTCCGAATGCCACCGTGGATTATATCACCTCTGTAGGAGAGTCCCCATGATTCTGAATCGTTACCTAATAGTGCTATGAACTTTTGACTGTAAGCGCTAAGGTTTACATGGGCTGTACCAACACCCACAACCTGAAAAACAACAAAACACAGAAAGTTAAACAAAACTTAACATTTGAAACTTGCTGAGCAAAGCAGGTTGTATACAACATTTGACTTACGACATCTGTCCCATGGATAGTTGACAACATCTTAATTTCCCACAAGTACTGCCTTCCTGCCATAAAAGGCACAGTCCCTTTTACGGCTGCAGTCCCCACACTGACAGTGGGGTTGAATAAAACTTCTCGTTGATTGCATGAGAGTCTAATAGGAGAGTGACATGAAGGTTCTTCCCAACTCCATTCACTGGCTGAAATGAAGCAATATAACATTGTAGTTCCCAGTTATGATATCAAAATTTAAGAGTCAACTATGTTTTACATTAAAAACGTCCGATTTAAAATGTAAAGAAAAACTTACCATCAAAGTCCTCCCCACAGAGGCATTGGACATTGTCTGGGTCAAACTCACATTCGCAGAAGGAGTATTCCATGGTTACGTACGGAAATGTCCGTGGACCACAGCAGTTGTTCAACTACCAAACAAGAACCTTGTTTAAATAATTATGGATAGAAACTAAATTCATCATAACTTCATTTTGTTGAGCTATTCCAATAAATGCATATGCAGCGCAAAGAACAAGTTTTTTGGTATTGGGCATCAAATACGGTTCAAGAACAAACAGAATCAGTACCCCTTTGGGAAAACAACAGTGACAAATTAAAAACTCTGGTTAAATTAAATTACTCGTTCCAAAAAATCATTTAAAGCAGTAAAAGAAAAATCATTCCAAGAAGGTGGACACGGTGGCCGGCCGATTTGCACAGACAAAACTCATTCAAATCAGAATGTCAACATAACTGTACGACTATTACAAACAATAGACATTCGTGCCATGACTATTACCAGAATTTAATGATGAAAACCCACCAACTTTACCAAAATTAAGTGTTGTTGACAGTCCAACGCAAAATAAACGGCGGGGAGGGGTGAGGGAGGGGGATGAGTGGCACTCGTGAAGGTTCTCGAAAAACTGGAGGGCGGTGAGCACGGTGGTGAAAATCGATAAATTTCTCATATTTCTGACAACTGCACCTGCTGTAAAAGAAAAAAAATAAGCGAAAGTAAAAGTGGCATAAAAATAACAGCTAGGTGCTTCGAGTGAAAGATTTTCAAACAAATTAGATTTCCGAGTCACTTTTGTGTTTGTTGGGTGCACACCATCACGATCACAATAGGAAATACTCTCTTCGGTGGATGGTGTTGATGATAGTGGTGTCGATGTCCGTTATTCTTTAGTCAATGGCGATGATGTCCTTTCTGCAAGTTTGTTTGCACGTTTCTCGACACTAACGCAAAGAAGATAAAGGATCGCGCTCCAACTTCAGAACAGGAATGCTTCAAGTCCAAGACACCCAAAACCAATGGCAATGGCGACAAGTTACCCCAACGATTACAGCAACTCTTGCCGGCTGTGCCTGTCAAAGGAGGGGCGACAGTTTGGCGTGTTTGGACCTGGGCCCACTCCCGATCCCGATGATATCGGGCCCCTCAACGCCAGAATATTCTCTTGTTTATCAATTGATGTAAGAAACAGTTATTGATTTCTGTGGCACCTTGTAAATTATTGACCCGCTTACTTCATGGTGTTCATTTTTTGTTGTAGATTTCCCAGTACGATGACCTTCCAAAGCAGATATGTCACAGATGTGAATGCCAAATCAACGTGTGGTACTATTTTAAGGTCGAATGTGAAGCATCTCAAAAAAAGTTAACAGCATGGTTGAAAGCTCATCCAAGTTCTTCATCGGAGAAAGAGGCCTGTATCGAAGATGAACACACTACAATGTTCCAAGAGGTACAGGCGGTGTTTGGTTTTCTATTTTTGCCGAGCCTTTTCGAATGTCTAATTGTTTGAATGTTGTTTCTTTCTAGTCTGTGCATATCAAGCTGGAGCCAGAGGATGAAGAATTCCCTACTGATCAGCATGAATCAGGAGAGGCTGATTCATCGCGTAATGACGGAGTTTTGGACCAGAGTCTTACCTATACATCCAATGAGTCAAGCAATTGTTTGAACCTGGTTATCTCTGGCACAACAACAGTGGACCCTGATGTCCATGAGGGCTTCAGTGAAGAGAAAGATGAGCCTTTTGCTCCGGTGCAAATGTTACCGACTTCTGAACGCACTCTGGATAAAGATGCATCAACCACCAAAATTGATGTAATAACTTGAATGGGTAAATATTCTCTTTATACAAATTTCTTTATTTGTATATTAAAGCTTGATTACTCTTAAATTTAGGAAATAAATCCCAATCCTTCAGCCAATGCAAAAGGATGGCTGGAGTCAGAGGATTCTAAGAAGACCTCGCAAGAACAATCTTCAGCACTTTTGGAGAGGTCCTTTCATGTCAAGAGTGAATCTAAGGAATCAGAAAGTGGTGATGATCAAATCCTTAAGCATCTTCTCACCAGTTCTAACAGTGCTCTTTCCAGAAGTTCTAGGTCACTCTCACCGTCTCATCAGATCCCTTCTTCCACCTCCACAATCACCTCTCCTAAGAAGCGTTTGAGAGCTTTGAGTTTGGAGCCAACCCTCAAGAGGCCCAGGTTATCTGAAAACTCTTCAGAGCACTCCAGAGTCCAATATAGCTCAATTTTTCTGCCAAAAATAAGTAATGATGTTTATGACGAGAACTCATCCACTTGCAAGATTTGTGTGAAATCATTTTCACATATAGCTAATCTTTGGCGCCACATTAAAACAAGCCATGCTCAAGAAAATCCTTTTAGATGTGACATATGCCGTAAAGATTTTTCTTTAAGAAGAGAACTTATTGCTCACAGGCTTGGAACAATCAACAAGTATTGTCGTCTCGGTAAGAAACCGGAACTGTCATCTCTAATTACTGCTAATCCGAGGATTAAATATGGAAACCGAGGAAGATATGAATGCAGTGAGTGCAAATTGAAGTTTATTACGTTCACTGATGCAAAAGCTCATGAAAGAATTCACACAGGAGAAAAGCCTTTCATCTGTTATAAATGTAATGAAAGAGAATTTCGCTTACGAAAAACAGCTCTTAAACACGTTACTTTATGTAAAGGCAAAGTTGAACTTCAGCCTCAAATTTCTCAGGACAACCATGAACATTCATCTGCTGCTGCCGTCACAGTTCCAAATTTGACGCTTCACAATGTAGTGAAAAAAAGTCTGAAGAAAGCAAAGTCATGCAATGTGGACAAGTGCTCTAAATGTGGCAAAGTTTTTTCCAGTGGTGTTGGGTTATCAAACCACTTGAAAACAAATTGTGCAAGAAAATGTATTTCTTGTCTTAAATTTGTACCATTTAAGACATTTTTTAAACACTATCGTCAGTGTTTTACAGCTGCTCATAGTTCCTCTGCATTGCCAGAAATAATTTCAGGCGAAGCTTTAAACTTGAACAATGACAGCGCTGATGTTAAAAATGTAGTAAAAAGTGAGAGTAATGTTACTGATGGACCTAAAGCTGAAAGTAGCCCTGTTCCTAGAAAGCTTATGAGGTTTGATATGACTGTGCGTGAGATGTGGAAGAAACAGCTGAACGAAGACGGCGTTTTAACATTGACCTGTGCATTTTGTGGAAGAACCAGTGTTAACAGAAAATCTCTCCATTCCCATATTACCAAACACAGCAGTAAACGTTTCAGAAATGCAAGGACTCCTGGGAAGTACCCAGGCTTCATGCGTCCAAAATTGAAATGTGATATTTGTATGAAAACATTTAGCTCTGCTTCTTCTTTGGAATACCACAAGCTGACACACAAAAAAGTGAAGTGTGAAAAATGTGAATTGACTTTCCCAGCGTCAATGGAGAGAACTCACTTATGTACGGCCAAAGTGAAGTCAGAATCCACTCAGTTATCTGGAATGGAATTTGGTGTACTTCCAGAAAAACGTGTGATTCAGTACACTTGTCATTTATGTAAGAAGAAATTTCATACGAGGAAAATGCTGTACCAGCATAAAAAAATGCACATTAAAGTTAAAATATTTAAGTGCAAAATGTGCAATAATTCCTACAGTGATGCTGGAGCCTTAAAAGCACATAAAGAAGAGGATCATAAAGATGAAGCAGAAGTGGTGAAAGAGACTGATAGAGAACTGACAGAAAATCGGAGTGTGGAAAACCAATCCAACCTGAATGAAAGTTCAGAAAAGTTTGTAGGAAAGCCACTCTATTGCCATGTTTGTCAGAGAGGGTATTCTTCTGAAGGATCCTTGGATCGTCACATGAAGTTACATAATAGTGTTAGTAAAGTTTTTGCTATTCAAAAGCCGAGCAATCCTGGTGTGTTTTACTGCAATATATGTGACAAAGCTTTCACGAGCTTAGTAAGCTTCACTGCTCATAAGGGATGGCATTCTCGTTCTCTCTCTGAATCAACTCCAAAGGCTGAAGTATCTTCTGATGAAACTCCTGATCTTTCAAAAAGCCCAGAGCCTCAGAAGACCCCAGATACCATAGAAGCCAACGATGATGAATCATCTCTTTCTTTTTGCTGCCCACATTGCCCCAAAAAGTTTGTTGCTCAGAAAAATCTTAGGATACATTTACATTATCATAAAAATCCTAAATTCCAGTCTCCAAAGGAGACCAAGTTAGAGACCGTGAGTCATATTGAAAATATTCATAAATGTGAGATCTGTCCAAGCACTTTTTCGGACTTGTCTGAACTTTCTTCTCACATGGTTACTCATACAGAGAAGTCTTCTGATACTTTGATTAAACCGTCAGAAAATGACACTCCTAAGCAGGAGCTATTGCATTGTAAGTTGTGTAATAAGGAATACAAGAACAAGAAGAACCTAAACTATCACATGATGGGACATTCAGGAGAAAAACCTTATAAGTGCAAAAGCTGCTCAAATCAATACAGTAATCCGAAAGCCTTGTCCAAACATGAAAAAGAGAGACATGCAGTGGTCCTTCGTCCATTCTCCTGTAATAGATGCAAAACTAGTTTTGTCTTGAGAGAAGATCTACTTGCTCACCAAGAAAAATGTCCCAATCAAATTCAGCCAGTGTCTTCTTAGTAGTCGTTAGATATTGCAGCAATTAAAATATGTTGAATGTCTGGTGTGATAGGAGCATCCTGCCCACCATTTACAGTACTTCTTCAATTATGTATCATACAGAAAAGAGTCTCTTTTGACAGTGTGTTAATGTACTTTCACTGCCATTCCTTCCTTTTGTTTTCCAATTTGAATAATGTTGTTCTACTTTTTAAGTGATTACAGTAATGTGAGTTGTTCCCTCTTGTGTGGTGTGTTCACTACTGCCTGTGATAAAAATATTTGTGTGTACAATCTGATTATTAGCTTGCGTGTGTACTTCAATTGGAACCATTTCTCCAAGTAGTGTTATAAGTTATTTCTCAAGTTTGACTTGACTTTGTGTATCAACCCCTTTAGTTTTTGTGATATTTCTGTGAAATATTTTGAACATGACAAAACAAATAAAGAAGAGTTTCCTTAAGTTTTATAGGTCTTTAATTGTTTAAAAAAACTTCCCATTTGTCAATCATAAGAGTGAATAGTTATATCTGAATTGTAAAAAAGAAAAACTAACAAAAAAACAGAACAATACGGACAGTAACTATATTACAGACATAAATTACTCATCAATGTACAATCCTTTGAAAAGGTAAAAATTGAGGAACCAAACTAAATGAACTGCTGCTTAATCATCATCCTGCAACAAAATAAATGCCACAATAAGAGATTTAAGCTTTAGTTTACTGCATGAGGAATAGATCCTGGGGCAAGCACTGAGGACAGTTTGGCATATACTTACTCTTCTTCTTTTAGGAGTTACTCTATCATCAGGCATTGACCTTTTCCTCTTGCCTAACAACCCAGTAACAGACCCTGCAAGCAAAAATAAACATTGATTGAGAAGACAGCAAAGTAATTCAATCCATTACCTAGGAAACTACACAGTAAAATAGGTAACACAAAAAAAGGTGCAAACCTGATCTCCGTGAGCTAATGCCATCTGAATCCTGATCTCTCTTGTCAGCTGTACGAGTTCCTCGACGAGATAAAAGTTGACCACCTTCCGAACCAACGGTTTGCAAAACTAATTGTGTGTTCTTGAACTCCTGTTAATGTGTTCCATGGCCAAGGCAGGTCAGGTGAGGGCGCACACACACAAACATACACAGAAAAGAAAACACAATTAGTAGAAATAAATGAAACAGCACACAAAACATATCAACAGATCTTAAATTGAGAAAAAAAATTGATGTCAGCTATAGAAACAACATGCGTAGTTGAAAATACAATCCATTAGAACAAAACAACAGAAGGACAAAAACGCAACATGCTATTGATAGATTTGACAAAAAACTTACATTCAGATGCATAACACCTTCCTCCTGCATTTCACGAGCCATTATATGGACTGGTGAGTTGCTCTTGTTGTACATGATTGCATTGTTGAACATAATCATGATATCTCTTTGGAACTCGTCCGTGGTACGGATTCTACCATTTTCTATATTCTTCTTTATGGTTTGAAGATCAAATGGTCTGAGTTTTAAAAATAAAATGTTAAAAATAGGGTATATGACACTAAAAAGGCAAATAGTTTGAGTTATTTCAGACTCAATACCTGAGAATCATTGAGCTGTATTCTGGAGCTATGTCATCAGTGATTGGCTTCAGGAAAATAGATGAATTTTTATGCTGAGCAATGCGATTATAAACCAACATAATAGATTTTTTCCATGACCGATAATCCTTTTCATCATCAGCGCTAACATTGGTGGCAGCAGGACTGTTTGGAACAGAATCTGAGCTGGCAATACTCTCTCGTGCATAGCGGCCTCTACCTCGTTTGACAGGTTGAGGTGGTTCAATATCTCTTGTGTTGTCATCCTCTGTGGATGGTGTGTCTGCCCTAATTTTCTCTTCTTTGATCTGAACAGCTGGAGGATCAGCATCTGCATCCCTGAAAAGGATAACAAAGCAAAAGTAGTTACAAAAGGCAAGTGACATTATGTGACATAAATGATACATCAAGTGTAAAACAATTACCTGGCATTTTCATCCTCCATTTGCACTTTGGAGGCAGAACTTTTCTTTTCTTCCTCAGTCTTCTTAACTGGTATCTTTAGATCAGAATCGTTTTTGGGTTCATCAAGGATTTCTTCCTTAACGCTGTCGTCTTCAGATGCCACTTCGTTAGAACTTTCACTAACGACAGGTGATTTGTCTCTCTTTGTGGGAGGCACTGGCTTTGGTTTGGGAAGCTTTTCTCTTGGAGATAGAGGGCTTGGTTTTTTGGTGCTTTCAACTTCCGTGACCTCTGCTACGTTTTCCTTTGCATTTTCTTGAATGCTTGGAGCTGGAGCTGCAGTTTTGCTTACTTCTTGCAATTCAGGTGTATCAGTTTTCTCAACTTCATTGGCAGGAAGTTTTGACAGCTTTGCGGCAGGTGAATCTGATTTGACTTTGGTATCATCAGCAATCTTCTTTATAGGACTGACTTCACTAGATTTGAGAGGTGTTTTGCTGGGAGACCTGTTTTCCACCTTCTGGTCATCTTTCTTAGGTGTTACACATTTGTCGCTCTCAACCGCCACACTTACTGACTCACACACAGAAGATGGTAGTACAGCCTGGGTGATGTCCACTTCTTTTTCACTGGCAACATCTTCATGAGGAATGACAACAACACTACTGTTGGGAGCATCTTGAAGCACCTGAATATCATTCACTATACTGGCCGTCTGCCTACTTTCATTGAGATTCATGACCAAGTCATCCTGCATGACTACGCCACCTTGGACAAGCATACCATCCTGCATAAACACAATACTGGCGTTTTCTAAATCTTCACGTGATAATGTTTCTGTATCTCCCACCACCTGTGGACTATTGCTTTGCACTGTAGAAGGTTTGGCCAACTCCTCCTGCTCCATAACAATGTTCCGAGCAACCATGTTTCCTTTGGAGGGTCGTCCAGCAATGCGAGGTGACGGTGCAGCAGATTGGGGGGTTGCAATGGCGCGTTGGGGCGATTGGTGAGCGGGAGATGTGTGCATGACAGAAACAGGCTCAATTTGTTCCTTAACATCACCTTGGGGCACTTCATCATCTTTGTTTGAGTTGGTTTCAACCTGATCGGTTACTGGTTCTGCAACAGTTCCTTCATTGGTTTCATTGGCTTCCAACATGTTACTGACATCAGCATCTTCCAAATTCAAAAGACACACACCGTCTCCATCCACCAACCCTGGTACAAGCTGAGAATAAGAGGAGTCAAAAAGAGTTAACAAGTTGATAAATTACTTATAACATAACAATAAAAGTAGAAAACATTAGATACTACCTCTTCGAGGACAACACCTATTGAAGCAGGATCCACAACATACTGCTCAAGTTCATCTGTGGAGAGCTGCTGTAAGTCAGCAGCATCAAGACTAACTTTACTTTCTGTTTCTGCAAAAGAAAAAGGAGGAAGTTAATTAAAAATTTGATGTATAATGGAACTAAGAACACAGGAAATTTAGAAACTAATCATAGGAACCACAGATAAATAGAAACAACAACAACATGAGAAAAGTCTTACCAGGAACTCTAGTTTCAGTTCCCTCCGGTAATACTATTTCCACATTCTCAGGCAGAGGCTCCTTTTTGAGTGTGTCTAAAAGAAAAGTAAGCAGAGTAAAGCTACAGTGTCACTAAAAGCAAACAGGTAGCTAAATGAGCTGAGAGCACATTAAATAACCAATGCTTAACAAAGAATAAAAATAAAAAATGCAATTACTGAATAATAGTATCATGCCTAAAATAAGTATCACATGCATGGTGGTCATTCCACCTCACACTAATTGACAAAATACCTTCGCATAAAGCAAGAATAAAATAATAGCAATAGAAGAAAAAAGAAGTTTCTTAAGTTATGATGAAAATTGGAGTGAAATCTGTCACAGAAACTTCAGCAGTACCCAAAAAAAGTTAATATTACTGCTGAAGTCAGACATACCCAAAGCTTCCGAAAGTGCTGTGGCAACAATTTTATCTGCTGGCTCTACATCTTGTGGTGAGGATATTTCTGAGGAAATTCCTTGCTGATCAGTCTCATTGGAAGTCACTTGCAGAGAAACATCAGTGAACTCATTAAGAGGGACACTTTGAAGAGAATCTTGAGCTTTTTCTTTATCTGGTGCAGCTACTTCCAGGGACACGTTGGTATTGCAAGTCTCTGTCAATTCAAGGGCTCCTATATCAGATAGTAGATTTGTAGGAAGAGTCTTTTCAGATACTTCTTTTCTTATGAGTTCAAGGGACTCTTCGTCCTGGCTAGAAAGTGGTTGCACCTGAACAGGAGTTGCTGGTTCCTCAACTTCCGACTTAAGTTCTGAGTTGGTATTTAACTCTACAAATTTACTGGTCACCATATTAAGCAAGGGTCCGGTTGTTGGTTCACTTGGCATGTCAGATTGAGAGTATTCAACTTCACAATGAGTTTCAACAGCTAGTTTGCATTTCTCAAAGTCTGTGTGGTTCTCTGCTTCTGGTTTGTCATTGGTTTCAAGAAGAGATTCTATCACAGGTGAGCTCATCTCTAAAGAATCGTGACTTTCTATGCCCAGCAGAAATTCTACTGATGGGGGACATTCCTCAGAGGGTGTAGGACCCTGAATAGGTTCTTTTGACAGTTCGTTGAGGTTTAGGGATTTAGGGGTCTCTACTTCTAGCAAGGGTTGTGCTGCTGGTTGACACTGCTGAAGGGGCTCAGCACCCACTAGCAGAAGCTCAACAGTTGGCTCCTCCACTTCATCACCTGTAGACACCATTAAAGCCATGAGTGCTGAAGGCAAACAGAAACATGGCCTTCTAACAAAGCAATCAGTCAAGAAAGAAAATAAAGTTATAGGCAAGCATGAAGGAGTAAAACAAAGTTTTCAATAATAAATTCTGCAACCATGCTGGATGAAACATAGGCTAATACATCATACAAAAAAAAACTACAAAGCCTGGCAATGTATTTAAATTATGCCAAAGAAAATAAAATAAAACATTTATCAATCAAAATTTTTTCCTCTGGCTCAGAAAATTCCTTGATCTCTCAGACACCAGATTGAATTAAGCCATCTTGCATTGCATGCACAAGAGAAAACAAGCTCTCAATTGCTGACCTGGTTTGGAAGTGGGCGTGCTGACAGGCCTGACAGGCTGCTTCGTAGCACTGGTAGCACTGTACGGGGGGAGCTCAGGGAGCTTTCCAGGAGTGGACGGAGGAAGCTCAAGCAACATGGACAAGGTAGGGGAGCCTGGCAAGCCATGGGAAAACAACTTTCAATTTTGGTGGAAGGATATACTCATAATTTAAATATTTAGAATCCATAAAAGATTGTAGTTTGTCAAATCTTAGTACAGCATTGTGAAAATAAATAAAAAGTTAAAGACATCTAGCAGTTGTCAGTTTTTGCCTTCCAGAAAAAAAGGCAATTGCAAAAACAGAATCCCTAAGTGAACATTGCTAGAAATGCAGTTAAGGCAGGAAGCTGGGGAAGGGGCCATTGCAAACACAAACAAAAGTACGAGACAGAAAGTGCCTTCAGATGCCACAATCTCAATGAGAGAAATTAAGAGGTGATTTGTCACACGTAGCAATGCAAAAAGCAAACTGTACATTATATCCTAAACAAGATATGTACTTACTGGATGTACTATGAGGTTGAGGTTTAGGAACATCATCATGCCCTGCCAAGGCATTTGATACAAGAGATTTGATATTAGGTGATGATGGTATGGATGTTGTAGAGCTAGGCACCCCTAAAACAATACAAAAAGTAGTTATAATCAGAGCACAGTGGTGAAGCAATTAGGACAACACAAATAAATCTCACCTGGTGATGAATTAAGAAGGCTAGTAATAGTTGGGGATGCACCACGCTGTGATGTAATGGCTGAATGTAGTATTGAGGATGACTGCAATCAAGTTCAAAATGTATTTGAATGATTAATAACTAAAATAAAGGATGAATAGAAAATTCCTACAGTATGAATAGATATACTCTACCTGTACACCAGTAACTGGTGAAGGACTTTTGAGAAGACTGGTGAGCAAAGGTGATGTTGGAGTAGAAACAGGTTTGGGTTCAACCACTTCTTCTGTTGTTGTTGGTTGCTGCAAGGTAGACAAAATAAGTTAATTGTACAAATTGGTCTAAACAGAGAATAAATTAATTCCACAGAGAAAAAACGAGTCCTTACTTCAGATGGGCTCTCCAAGTTATCTGTTTCACTTCCTAATTCAGATTGGTTGCTGGGCCTTCGAGCAGCTTGAGAGCCCGCTCCACGGGTGTGTTGCTGGGCAGCATGAGGACGCCAAGCCATTTCCATCTCCTGTTTTCGCTCTTCCCTTTGACGTAAGTACCGCTGTTGCTCCTCCTGTTTGGCTTCTTCTTGTTTCTTTTCCCTGAAAACAATTTAAAGAAACAACTGTGATGACGCAAAAAGAAACAGTTTTTTGATTTAAAAACATCTCCCGACCCCTGAACTAACTCTTGAATTTGAAGGATGAGGTCCTGTAGTCTGTCGTCTGCTTGTCCGTTTTGAACTAAACAAAGGTCTTCTTTGTCCCTCATGTAGACAGCACGTGCCTCTGCCATGAGTTTCCGCAGTTCCTCGATCCTTTCTATAATACAATTAAAAGAGGCAATTGAACAAACATCAAAAGAAAGAGAGGTATAATTAAGTGGTTGGCTACACCATTAGTACCTCCTGTTAGCTGTTTCACAATGACCTCAGCAGGAGTAAGATCCACACCCTCAGCCTTTGAACCATCGGCTCCTCGTTTTTTCCGCTTCGGGGTTTCTATTTGAGTCAGAAGGTTGTCGTACTGCACTGCACAACTCTTCTGGGAGAACCAATCAGCAGGGCGCCCAGGCTCTCCACCAAAACCACGAAGACTTCGACTTACTGACATCCTGGCACAAAAGGACAAGAAGAACAAATTTAAAGGCTGTAAAATTCCATAAAATAATTAAGATTTCTTTCCAAAAGAAAATTAGCTTACCAATTTTGGTTGCCACTTCTAACTACACTAGAGGCCAGACATAACTTCTCTCTGATGGACCAAGGGTCAACCTGACCTCGCTTCAGTTTGAGCACTAAATGAACAGACAGAATACTTGTTATCAAGACAATGCGAATGAACATAAAAGTCAAACAAGAATTAACATCAGATATTGACTAACAGTCAAGCAGTTTTAGAAAAATGCAATACATTAATGATTCAAGAATATGAGACGGGAGTGACAAAACATGTAAAAAACCGAGTACTAAAAGTAAAGAATGAAAACATCAGACATGATTGGTGTGTTGCCGACAGTGATTCAGGTGAAACACAATTTCAGAATGAAACGTGAGTGGAACGTGGTACGTTGCATTTATATTATGGGAATAAAATTTAAAGATCTAGGAACATTTACAAAACGCGAATACAATTTAAATTGCGTTTGTAATAAGAAAACGACTCCGACGCCGAAAGGCGCCGAATGGAGGTGACAAAGTCATTGTGGATGAAAGTGATGCGGTGGCTATTCAATTCAACAGACGTACCCTCTTCAACGGATGCCATTTTTAATGTTGTTTTTTGCTGGATAAATCACATTCCACTCCCTTGATAGGACAAAATCGACAAGACACAACACGATTAACCTCTCTTGAGGATTTTGTGTACACAAATGCCGATCGACAAGTGAGCATCGGTGTAGGAATATGAGAAATTCACAATAACATAAAAGTATGCGAAACTGCTCAGCGCGCGAGCTGTTTGAATTAAAGTTCGACAGCTTGAATGAAAGCATTTTTTAATGCTAGCTGTTGTACAAGGAAACATCGAAATCTGACTAAGATGACGGTATTGAACAATAAAGTGACCCCGATAAACAACCACACAAAGAAACTTAGCCGGTCAGAACAAAATCATCCGTAGGAATCTGATGGTCGGCTACGCTCACACCACCCCCGCTCAGAGAGCTAGACAAAGTCAGTCCTTTTCCAGCCAAGACAATGCTTTATTACTGACACTAATTTTCAATTACTCGACGTACCTTTCTCAAGACCTCTTGCTGTGCTTCACTCTTCATAAAGCGGCAGCAAAAGGAACGCGAAACAAGATGCAACGCGCAAGACGCAGATGAGTCCTTGCGCAGACAACGGCAGGCACTAACTCGTCTCGTCGCGCCGCGCCGACCGAAACACCGGCCACCCGACACCCCCGACCGCCACAACCCCCCCCCCTCCCCCTCCCTCGTCCCTCGCCCGCTCTCCGCTGCCAACCTTCACTTCACTGCCGTGACGAAACGGAAAACAAGGCAAAGTGATTGCAACGGAATGAAAGAGTGAAACGTTTTCTGCGAAAATTGCAAAACTGCACGTAAATGTGCCCGGGGCGCCGTACTCCCAAGAAGACCAAGGTGCGATGTGATTCCGGCGCCGAATGAAGATGAGATTCCTGGCCTCTGATTGGTCGCTGCCGTCGCGAGGGGCACGCCGGGGGCACGCCGGGGGCACATCGGGGCGTGACAGCGCGAGACAGAGACAGAGCATGCCCCAACGCGACTTCTAGTGCGACCATCTGGAAGGAAATGCCCGGAGTGCAGATGGAGTTCCCTCCCCGCCCTCCCCTTCACCCCCTTCACCGGCGGCACCCCGCCCACCCCCTCCGGTGGCAGGCCTGGCGGGCCGGCTGCAGACGCGGTAGGACCACGCCGTGGCGTGCGGGCTGCGCTGGGGCTGCGGGCGTCGGGCGTAGGGTAGGGCACAGTGTTGACCCGCGCGCGGCCCAGGACAGACACAGCGCAGAGCGCAGACTCCGAGCAGGCAGAGCCGGCAGGGCCACGCTGTGCGGCGCGCGGGGCCCCACGTGTTGGAGCTCGTCGGCCGGGCCGGCGCGAGGCCTTGGGGAGGCGCGAGGCGCGAGCACTCCGCGCAGCCCGTGATTCCGCCATGGTGTCCGCGAGGAGGACCACCGCGTCGTCCTGGACGGGGCTCCGCCGCTGAGTCGTCGGCATCCTCGCCTGGCCGCCATGGCCGTCAGACGCTGCTGTGTTTGGCTCGCCGGCATCGCCTGTCTCCTCGCTGCTCAAGGTGAGACAAGTGCATTGTCGTCGTCGTTGCGGGGGACGGCCGTAGCTTTTTATCGCAGCGTATCGACAGCTCATCAAGGCCCTGCAGGGCCCTAGGGTGCCGCAGGGGCGGCGTGACAGTCCCCCCCTAAGGCTGCCTCTGGACCCGCCCCTCGGCCGAGTCTTTTTCCAAGTCGTTCTGCTCGCCGGTGTCCGGAGTGAAAAAGAGGAGCTGCTCGCTCGCTCCGGTCCTTGTTATCAGTGTGCCATCTACCGGCCGGCTTGTCGTGCCTTCCGGCCGGCTTGTCGCTGCCGGCTCCGGTTGTCCTGGAGGACCGCCTGCTCGCTCCGTCGCCTCCGGGTTGCCTGGAGGGCGGGCTCCGTCGCACTCACGGGGCTTGTCGCGGGTGCGAGAGAGACAGGGCTGCCGTGCTGCGCCGCGCACCGCGCACCGTGATGTATGGTGCGGGGGCTTCAGCCGGCTTCAGCGCCCTGCTGACGTATGGCCCGCGGCCCGCCCGGCCCGCCGTCCGCGGCCATGGACCCCGAGTCCCAAGCCCCGTGTGGCCACGGCCAAGGTAGGCAGCCCCACGAGGTGGTTTTCTTGTCGCGGCACTGTTTTTAGATTCAGTCAGCTTGACGGGCCTTTGGAAATTTGGGAGAGGACGAACCTCAGTTAAGATCCGCTGAAAAAAAAGCGCGAAAAAAATGGGTTTGAAGCCGAACTTTGACGTTGGATCTCCGTCACTCAGACCGCGTGGCCACATGGCGGCGCTGGAGCGCGATTAGCAATGCGGCGGTGAGCGCCCTTCTGGGCCTTCTGGGCCTTCTGGGCCTTCTGGGCCTTCTGTCTGGCGTGCGAGCGGAGACACTTCGTTGCCACCCTATTCGGCCTCTACTTACCCCGCCCCTTCCTCTTCCCTCTTTTTCATTGATAGCTTCTCGAGCCAAACGCGGAGGAGCCGCCCGGGCCGGCGCGCTTCTCCCTCCATTTTCTGATATGAAATCTTGTGACTCTGCCGGCAAACTTGCGCCCCGCCCCCCGCCCCGCCCCGCCCCGCCACGCCACTTTGGCCATACCGCCGAAAAGCACGCGATAAATCCGGGCCACTATCTGCATGCAGAAATCAGCACCGGCTCAGAGCATTACGGCGCGGAGCTTTGGATTTCCTCGAGGACTTCCGCGCGTCACCCCACTCCACCTCACACACACTCACACTCACGCTCACACACACGCGCGCACAGGGAAATGGCGGCCCTCGTTCTGATTACGACCCTTCTCTCGGAGGCTGGCGTGGCATGGCGGCGCGTTGTTAGACGTCGGGGGTAAAGGGGAGGACATTCGGTTCAGGCTCGAGTTTTTGGCTCCTTTCACCCCCTGCGGCCCTGCGGCCTCCACGAGGGCCTCCACGAGGGCCTCCGCCACCGCGACCAGGGCTGGGGCTTGTTTGTCTGCGATTTAGGCTCGCTGCTGCCGCTGGCACACTCCGCGTTCTCTATGCGTTCAACCGAACCATAGGGCGCGCGCTGCAGGTCCAAATGAGCACAGAAAAAAAAGTAAAAAAATGGGGGAAAGAGGAAAAAGAGGGAGGTTTGTGGGTTCTATTGACTATTGATGTGGGCACCACGACCCAAGCCAGCGACCTCCACCCCATTGGGCCGCCGAGGGAGTGGTCCGGAGCAGTGCAGCGTGGAGGCCTTGAGGTAGGCAACCCGGAGGCAACCCGCCGGGGTGCTACGGCACGACCGCCGGCCAGGCGGCCAGGGAACAAAAAACAAAAACCAGCAGGACGGAGGCGGGTGCGAGAGAGACAGAGCCACGAAGCAATGCACGGACCGGTCCACGACCTTGTTACTCTCTCTCTCCCTCTCTGTCGTCTGGACGTTAGCAGCTTGCGACGCGCAGCACCCCCACTGGGGCCCACGGGCCCACGGCTCATAATGCCAAGTTTTCAAAGGAAGCTCTTGCGTAAGTCCAAGTCCCTCAGTCAACAGGGGGAGAGAGAGAGAGAGAGAGAGAGAGAGAGGCATGAAGGACCGCCCTCTGCCTTGCGAACCGAGACGGGCTTGGGCGACTCCATCGGGACCACAGCAGCAGGCCGGTGGCAGGCTGGCAGGCGGTGGCAGCGTGGGTGGCAGCGGGTAGCAGTCAGTGGCAGGGCAGGGCCGGCAGTGCCGGGTCGTTGTCTCGGGGCAGTGGCGTAGCTGCAGGGCGACAGGATAAACACATTCCAGCCTGATTTGTTGACAAGTCGCGCCACCTGCGAGCGAATAGAGCAAATATAGTTTGGGTGGCGGCGGCGCCGCCGGCGTGCCAGCTTGTTGACGTCCATCCATTACGCTCGTCGGGACTGTTCGGTTCCGACACTCTCGTCTGCAAAGAATATTTTTTTTTTGCTGCCGTGGCAGTCAGTATTTCTCGAAATGGCGCGGGCAGGGTGGCGCGAGTGGTTGTCAGCGCGGTGTGAGGGCAGGGTGACAGTGCGGCGCGGGCCTTGAACATAGGCGGGGCAGCGCGCCTCGGGCAGCCTCGGGCAGCCTCGGGCGTGCAGCGGAGAATCTCCAGTGGAGATGAGGCAAGTCACTGAGGTGGATGCACTAGATATGAAACTCTCTTCACGTCACGTCCTCTCTTGTGCTACACCCTACACCCTTCGATACGACTACTCCAACCCCCTCCTCCCCCTCCTCCCCCGATTACATTTTCTCCCCGGAGCTGAGGCAGCGGCCCCGCGATGCACGAACCTAACACTCTGACGCCCGTCCCCACAAAAAGTCGAATTCGCTTTGATTTAAAAATGAATAAAAATGCTTTCAGTCTATTCAGGAGCACTGCGCATCCGTGACGCGTCCCGGATTTCTCCGTTGTCCAGAGAAGCAAATATCCGATCCGCGCGCCGGCATAGGTCCAGAGTCTTATGGCGTTCGATTTGAAATTTAAATTGAAAACGTCAAAGTGCGTTTCTGTTGATTCATGATATGCACGGGGGCGCCCGGTTGCCTCTATTTTTCGACCTTCCATGCAAATGCGAGCTTTTCCGCCTCCGGCTTTGGGTGTCTTTTTATCGGAGCTAAAACCACGTGTGCCGACGCAAAAAGGGGGAAAGATTGTTTCCCTTGGTTTAAAAACCACAACAAAACGAAGGAGACCTCTTGTTTGTGCGAGGGAGTTTGGGCACGAAGCGTGCGGCGGAGGGTGAAACTCTGCGGGTTTTGATTTTCATGGCTGTTTTACCTTGGACGGGTCTTGTACGGACCTCCTTTGCGAAACACTAACAAAAGAACAAACAAACGAAAACAAGCAAGGCAACAAGAGTGACCTATAGGCGGGGCTATCCGTGCAAACGCGTCTGGCTTCTGGGCATGCGGAGAGAGAACACAGCGGGAATAATAAAAGTTTCCCCCGCGCCCCCTCCCCACCCCCCACGCCCTTTTGGATGCTGGGCAGCGGAATCCATTATTACATTCCTCGTTTTGAAGCAGAGATGACGTCACGCTGCATAGTGGCGGCGAATGGGAGGGAGATGGGAAGTAAGAGAAATCTGGCGTTGGCTGGGCGTCTGGCTTCTGGCGGAGAGAGGGGCGCACGGGAGCCGCACCCACACCGCGAGCGAAGCGCTAGCGCAAGCTCGCCTAGCGCGGACGGGCAGGACGAGTTGGGCCTCGGTCAATATAATAACCCGACCCCGCGGTGCAGTGCAGCCATCGGACGCGAGCGAAAAAAAAAAGCGAGGTGGTGGGCGAGAGAGAGAGGCGCTATCCACAGCCGAGAAATAATAATCCGGACGCGGGGCGTGGTAATTCAGGATGAGAGAGAGAGAGAGAGAGAGAGAGAGAGAGAGAGAGAGAGAGAGAGAGAGGGAGAGAGAGAGAGAGAGAGAGACGTAGGCGAGGGCGGGGCAGTAGTTCACCGAGTGATCGACTGCGAAAGGAAGAGGCAGCCCCCTTGCATGCGTGATGCGGCTCGCTGAACTCACACAGTTGCATTCTGGGTCGCTCTGTCTCTCTCGCACTCGTGGAGAGAGGCGGGACAAGACTTGTTACTTGTTGCGTGGGTCAGTGCTGGTCAGTGCTTGTCCGGTGCGGCCACCGAGTCCCTCGAGGGACCATGGTCCCTGCAGGGCCCCCGCCGCCGTGCCGCCATCTTGGCTGCTTGTTACGCCCGGATTTATGCAAATGCAGCAGCCACCCGACCCTGTTGACATTTACATAAATTGTCTGCGCGGTACCGGGCGCGCGCTCTGCCGGTTCTTGTAGCCGCCGTGGCCGTCGTCGCCGTCCTGGTGGCTGCCGGCAGTTGTCGCCGCGCGGTCTGGCAGGACGCGCCCGGCGGCCCCGCAAGACGGATGAAGTTGAGACCGACGCGGTCCTGTCCCGGTCCCCGCGGGGCGGCTACAGGCCGCTACAGCCAGGCTACAGCCAGGCTACAGCCTGCACTCCGTCTCGGGGCAACTTAGTGGCGTTCCAGTTTGCGCGTCTCGCGAGCAGCTGTTGAGTCGCGGAGTCGAATGTGCCAGCCCGCAGTACCCGAAGTACCCCCTGTACCCTCAGTGCCCTCAGCGCGCCCGCGAAGTCGAGAGTAGGCCACGCAGTGAACAGTGGCGCGCGACGGGAGTGCCTACCCATCAGGCGTTCCGCTCTGCCGCCTGACGGCCTCCCTGACGGCCTCCCTGACGGCCTCCCTGACGGCCTCCCTGACGGCCTCCCTGACGGCCTCCCTGACGGCCTCCCTGACGGCCTCCCTGACGGCCTGCCTGATGCTGGGTACCCCCGCCACACCTCAGCGGCCGCGCGGCCGTGTGTTGCAGACTCTTTGCGCATCTCGTCCGCCAAAGTAAACCCTTTCACCTAACTGTGTTGACAGTTACGGAGCGTATACCCTCCCCTCTTTTCTCCCTTTATTTGTTTGCTTTGAGTTTGTTTGAAACTGCCTGCGGGGCTGCAGGGCTGAATGAGCGGCCGGCGCGGCGTGCGGGGCATGCACGTGGGGCATTATCAGTCGCTCCGTCTCTCTCGCTCCCA